CCCCCGTAATACGTTGGCTCATCCGTACATGGGCCCTTCGTGGTTTTGGCATTCGGTGTGGGATCCTCTCTAGAAAGCACATTTGCGATTGCAAGCGTTTTGTTACGAGCGGTGGCTTAGCTCAAAAGTAGGCTACACACTTTGGGAAACAATATTCCTGAGGAAGCAGGAAGATGGGCTTTGGTGTGGATTAGAGTTGCTCCATAGATGGGTGGGCTGGGAGGCCTCAGAACGCTTCTGTAAGCGGAAGGTGGGGAACTTCTACAGGGTGAATTCCAGTTTGGAGAAGTTTCCCGAGCCAATTTTCAGTGGTGGGCAGGACCAAAGGCAAAGGGAATTGCAAATAATAATAATAATAATAATAATAATTCCCCAGTTTATTTAACCTTCTTACTGCCCTTTACAAAACTTTAGGAAGGTTTCAGATTGGGGGGAAAACTGCCAAAGGCTGAACAAACGGTGGGCGGGGGAAAGCGAGTGAGGCTGGCAAAAGGGGAAGCTGCCCTGCGAGGGATTGCCGAGGCTGAAGTTCCCCACCTCTGCAGCGGCCCCCCCAAAGCCCCCCAGCTCCTCCACACTCTGGCCCACCTTATTTTCACTTCTTTAATGGACTTTCAAGCGAAGCATGAAATACCATCCTGTACGAAATGTCACTGGCCCTTTATTGGGGGTGGGGGGTTTGGGGAGGGGCAGTGCCCTCTGTTGCTGGATCCTCTGAGAACTGGTCTCATCTCCTTTATCCTAAGCGGCTGTGGGGGCAGCAGATTTGATGGTGAGCAGCCTGCGAAGAGAGGCGCGCGCGCGCACTCTCTCTCTCTCTCATTTTTCTCTCCCTTTTGTGGGTTGAGCCTTCTGCCAAACTGCTTAGTTCTATTTCCTGCCATGTGAGAGAAGCTGACACATTTCTGGGTGGCTTTGACTGGGCGCGGTGGCCCAAGACTTCTGCTCCGAGGAATGGGAAGACCAGACGCCTTTCCGGCCCAGCATTCCCTCCTCCCAGTGGCTCAGCCGCGAGCAGAACAGGAATGCGCCAGCCCCCTCCCAGCCATGTCCCCCAGCACACTGACTCCACTCCTGGAGTGGCATTTAGTTCTGGTGCCAAAGGGCCCTGGGAGCACTCCACGGATCTCCCGCTCACTGGGTCTCTGCCCTCCAACTCGGCCGCTTTCCACCCAGATTTTCTGTGCCGTGCTGGAAAGTTGACGGCCAAACCTTCAAGTCACAGATGGTTTGCGTGAGCCTCAGAGGGACTCCATCCAGGAGAAAATGGCAAAGGTCAAGCAAAGATGCAGATGGGAAATGCATGGCATGGTTTTGGGATGACTCTTTTTCAGGAGCATTGCATGATTAAAAAAAAAAGCAGGGTTCTGCCTGTGAGGGTGAGAGAGCTGAGTTCAAGCATGGAAGATAAGGAGACGCAGCTGCTCTTGCATAACCCTAACCCTTCCCAACCACAAGCTAAATCTAGATTCATTTGTTCACTTGAGCTGTCTGCCGTTACCCTCGCCCAAACGCTGAATGTTAGACTGCAATCACCATGGGGCAGAGACCCATCTGAGTTGGGTCGTTTTGCTTTGCTTATGTTGCAAAGCACCACACTGGTCTATTTGTAGGAAAGATTTATCCTGCACTTTTAAAGTTTAAATTCACAAGATGGCCAGGTTTAAAAATCCAATTCTGTGAGCTAAGAGGGGAATCCATTGCTTACCTGGGTTGGTTCTCCTTTGGAATGAAGTCAATGAAGGCTTATGGGGTTTGTGATCTTTGTATTTATGTACAAGTATATTTATTTATTCATGCACGCTTTTATAAGCCGCCTATAACTGCCAAGGCCTTCCTAGGTTGTGTTTTAATTGAATTCTGTCTTAACCTGTATTTTATTGACGCTACCCTGACTGCAGTTTTTTTGGGAGGAAAGTGAATGTATCTTATGGGCTCCAGCAAGGAGATTTTTCAGGTTCTGTAGCAAACCTTCCCAACAGCCAAAAACAGAGGGGAAATGGACCAGCTTCAGTGGGGTGGTTTAAACTCAAGGACATTTCTTCCTAAATGTCCTTGAATTGAAAGTAAAGTACCTTGGCAGGATTAAACCCCTAGGGGCTGAAAGAGCAGGGGAGACCACCTTGCTCCCCACACACACTTTGGCTGGAACACCTGCAGGAAATTTTTTTCATCCTTCCCTGCTTGGGAAAAAACCCCACGTATAAAAGCATTGAAACTCGGCACTGGGGCTTCAGAGTTGCATTTTCCCTTGCTCATCCCTCCCGATCCCCTTTCCTTTTGTGCTGTACCTTTTAGATTGCGAGCTTGTGGGTGGGCACTGCCCATTATCTGTGAACCTTTCTTTCTGTTTTTGCTGAAGAACAGGCTCAGAAATAATGTACATAAAATAAATATACCAACAGCTCTCCGCAGCCTTCGGTGCATGGCGGATCCCGTTGCGCATGCATCTCCTCCCTGCATCTCGTCTAGCTGCACCCTGAAAGCAAACTTTTGAGCTGGGTGTGCTAGCCCAGTGTGCTTTTAATGTGGAAAAACAAATGTGCCACCGCAGGGGTGAGCGTGAGAGAAGCATCCGTTTGGCTGAAGCAACCACGGAAGTCGGAAAGGGGGATGTGGCTGTGAAAAGGCGGGGTTCAGCAGGGCAGAAGTGCCCAGCACCATGAAACAGGGCGGCACAAGGGACGAGGCCAGCTGCTCCGGGATGCGGCTGAGCCCTGAAGGGCGCAGAAACCGTTCAGCTGTGGAGGGAGGGAGAGCCTGCATGGTCCAGACAACGCTGTGCTCGCTTTCCCTCTCACAAAGCCAGCACAAAGCTTTCCTAAGTACGTGGCTGCTGCGTTGGCTGAAAATGCAACCCTCCTGTTGCCGCGGCTTCGCACTGGCTGGATGGTCCCCTTGCGCCGCTTTCCCGCACGAGCCAAGTGAGCACATGGTAGCCAAACGGGCTGGCCGATTCCACGGACTGCGACTGCGTCCACCAGGAAGGTGCGGCCATGGCGAGGAATGACGACGACGGGGGTTAAAAACGAAAACAGAAGCTTTGCAATATCTGTTTACTTGTTTGGAGTATCTGTGTGCTGCTCCTGGGCCAAAACTGGATGGCCGACATCTAACTGATTAAGGGAAAGACCTGCGGTCCGCAGGCTTCTGCTCTGCAAGGGAATGGTGGTGCAAGGAGAAAAGAGCGTTTGAGAAGTCTTTGCGCAGAATGGGTGCAGTGCCCTTTGCTGCTTCCCTTCTCCAGCCCTCACAGGATATCTTCTGAAGCGAAGGAGGGACATGTGTGGCCCTCCAGATGTTCTGCAACCCTCCTCAGCACTGGCCAATGGTGAAGGATGGTGGGACTTGCAGTCCACCCCCATCTGGAGGAACACACTCACCCTCGTAGATCCAGCTTAGCTATCTGCAGAGGGCATGTGGCAAGGTCTGGACTCCTCACTCCCTCTTGAAACATAGAGACAGAGCGAGTCAGAAGGGGCCTCCCGGGCCATCTAGTCTGACCTCCGGGACCAGCCGGCTCTGCTCACGACATGCCCAAAGTATTAGAGAGATGGAAAGGGGGGCTCCCAAGCTAGCTGAAATGTTACAAGGGTCGCAGCCCATCATAGAATGGCTATAGCTTTGTGTGTGTGTGTGTGGGGAGGGGGGGTGGATTGAGACAATGATGGCACAGAAAAGGCCAAGCTGCGGGCAAGGGCCATTCAGAACTGTTGCTGTAGGAGTACGGAGAAAATCGCCCCATGCTGCAGAATTGAGCTCCCACCAGCATCAGCCATCTGCAACACACAGATGCAGAGCGAGCCAGAAGGGGCCTCCCGGGCCATCTAGTCTGACCCCCGGCTCCAGCCAGCTCTGCTCATGACATGCCCACCATGTGCATGTCCAGCCCGTCCTTGAACACCCTCACCGGTGGGGCCTCAACCACCTCCTGTGGTTGAAAACAGACATGACTGGTCTCTTTTCTACATGTGAACATTTAGGGTAAAGTGAACCCGTGCGATGCCTTCACGGTCTTTGCGAGTAAATGTACAACAGACTGCACGTTCATCGCAGCCCTACAAAAACTCTACACCGTTCCAGTTTCATTGTTCACACGTGTCACCTGGGGCTTCACCTGCACTTTTAAATGAGGGCGTGTGGAATGAGCAGCCTCATTAAAACAGTGAGGAAACACGGAGAGTGGTAAAAAGGCCCGTCTCAGCCCACGTACGGATCTATGGCACCGCAGAGGCCATGTACTGGAATTTAGTACATGTATTGTACTATTGAATTTTATCTGGCCAGGGCGGCTTATTTAATATTGTGTGTGTGTATATATATGTATATATATGTATATATTTTAAATTATTATTATTATTCTTATATCTATATTTTAATTTATGTGGTTTTAATTTATTGTTGTAAGCCGCCCCGAGGCTTCGGCGAATGGGGCGGCATAAAAATGTTTTAATAAATAAATAAATAAATAAATGTACGGGTGTACCCACATCCATGTATGGATTCTGGTGCCCACCATCCAAAAAGGATGCCACAGAGGTGGAAAAGAAACCTAAGGGCTGAAGGAAGAGGACAACAATGGGGGCTGTTTATTGCGGAGAGATGGGGAGGAAAGGGTTAAGAGGGTCTCCTCTTCCTTCACACCAGGCCCCCGAGGGGTCACCCCACAAAGCTGATGGGTGGGAGGTGCAGGGTGGTTCCAGAAAAGGCATTCTTTGCACAGCGCCAAGTTCAGCGATGGAATTTTCCGCAACGCAGAGCGATGGCCAGCAACTTGGATGGCTTTAGAAGGGGACTGGCCCAGGGCATGGAGATGAAGCTGTGAATGCCTAATAGTCATGAAGGCCATGATTTTCAACCTTTCTACAGCCGGGGACGGGCGAAAGCAGGAACACCGCCCCGGGGACCACCGAGGCAGAAACAAAAAGCACCACACACATAATACAGTATTCTGTGCATTCGTTTCCAAACACAATACCAAAAAAATGAAAATTCTCCAGAACAACCAGAAACCAGGCAACACAAAATGCCAACAAAAGAACAAAATACCGAAATCAGCGCAGCATGGTTTCCACTGAGCCGTCTCTCCTCTCCCCGGCCCCCTTGATGGCCCCCGTGCACCAAAGCTATGCCAATGGAGGAAGAGGTGGTGGAGCACAGCCAGCCCCCACGCCTGCCCATGGACCAGGGGTTGAAAACCGCTGGTCTACTGGACTGGGGGCAGGGGGCCTGCAGGGCACCCCTGGGGGACGGGGGCTGCCGTCTCATTCCTCTCCCACTTGTGGGCTTCTCATGGTCAGCCCTTTGGCCACCACCGCGAAAGATGCTGCACCGAACAGATCAGTCTTCACGCCCTGGTGCCGTCTGGATGTGTTGGACTACAGCTCCCAGCATGCTCCACCTGGAGGGGAAGGGAAGGGAAGGCTGGGATAGGACTTGGCTCTGATCCAATGGACCTTCTTCCATTGCTGTCCTTGGGAGGTCGGCAAACGTGGGGCTGAGATCCCACGTGAGCCCCCCAGCTGAACGCGCCAGGTGCGCACAGCTGGGCAGCCGAAACAACCAGCTTCCGCAGTGTGGGTCATGTGGGCTTCACACGGTGGCTGCTCCCCTGTTAGTGGCTTGTCTTGCAGTCCCACTAGGAAACGGAGCTCGGAGCGGCTGGAAGGAAAGGATTTTATTCTCTTTGGCACATGCCGGTTGCATGTGAATCCTCGAACAGTTGGAGAAGGCTGGGCTTCTTCGCCAGCTGCCGCGCGAGCGTTCCGGTGCTGTCCGGGGAGTCTCGCAGCCCTGCCTGCAGGAGGAGTTGCACGCATTCGGCGTTCTGCCTGGCGCACGCCATGTGCAGGGCTGGGAGGGAGGAAACAGACAAACATGAAACAGAACCAGAGGAGACGACAGAACGGAGCCATTATGCTCAGAAGGACTGGCTGGTCGATTAAAATCTTAGCTGATCAAACGTGCTGGAATTTTCAGTTGCTGAAATGCTTCTCTAGCTTTTAAGAGTGCACCTGTTATTCTTCACTCAGGGCTATTTATGGGTGTTTTAGATAAATGTGATCACCATCCAGTTTCACTTCCAGTTTTGAAAAGCACTTTCACACGTTAATGTAATTTTAACGGTATTACTGTGTTTGGAACTAGTTTAACTCATATTGATGTTTTAATTGATTTGTTTATGCTTTGTTAATGAAAACCGTCCGGAGAGCCATGAGGCTATTGTGACAGTACGCCAAAGTGTTAAATAAATAAATGAAAATCAGGACCTGGGGTCTCTAGCCTGGGAAAGTATTATGTCTGGCCTGGAATTACTGCTTGGTTAGCTCACTAGGGGTTGTTCAGCGAAGACTCTGGGGAAAACGGCCAACGGATGAGACACACGCTGTGTTAGGCCTGGAATCCCTCCTTTTTGGACCAGTTAATGAGCTTCTGCTTGGTGTTCTAATCAGCTTAACGAGCTCATGCTTTGTACTATGCTTAGTTACTTGGCCCATGCTGTGGTCTGTTGTGAGAATCCCGACTGACACGGATGGAAAGGCTCAGGTGTTGTGACTTGTGGCTGGCCAATGAGGACGGGACATTTAATATCCCATGGAGTACAAGGACGGGGAGTTTCACAGAGTGCGTTTGGCTTGCTGATGAGGCCAGTGGGTGGGTGGGCACCACTCCATCCCTGCCCCGTACCAGCCAGCCCCTTCCCCATGAGCAGCCTGTGAAGGCTAGCCCCTTCCCTTTGGGCGGCGGGTTGTGCGGACGCCCACCCTCCTCAGGAGGCTCCGCTGACTGTCCATTCCAGCTGACTGGAGCCTCTCGGCCGGCAGGTTCACGCTGAGCATTCGAAGTGCCTTGCTTGCTGAACCCCTGAGAGGCTAGTAGCTTTTGGGGGTAATTTGCTTGCCTTTTCAATAAAGCCTATATGGAAATCTGGACTTGGGCTTGCCAAGTTCTCGGGGTCACTCAAACCTGTAGTCAGGCCAGGAGACTCTTGTAAAAAGCCACAGAAATGATGAGCCTGATGTTCTTTTCAAAAATGTTTACGAGCCCTGCAGTGAGATGAGGAGCTGGGTTTCCATCCTGGCAATGGGAGAAGAAACTCCTCGTCTTCTGCAGGCAGCACAGACAGAGGAGCAGGCTGGCAAAAGGCAGAACAAGCCCTCCCACCTGTGCGACTCTGATCCGGTTGCACGGCTTTCCATGCGCTCGCCTGCCTTTGGCGACCGGGGAAGGTGGCTGCAAACCAGGCTGGGTGAGCTGGCACAGAGCCACCCTGCAATTCAATCCCCCCTCGTCACACTCATGCCGATGGCTCAGCTCAGGTGTGAGCAATGCCGTGTTTGCAGTGGACTAATAACCTTCTCGGCTGCAGTGCCCAGAGACTACATCTTGCAGCATTTGGTGGCAGATCTGGTAGGCTGTTTGGCCTTGGACAGCCCTGCCTTGCAGGACAGGAGGTTGGAAGGGGAGGATTCTGGTCTCTCTGAGCCTTAAGGAAAATCCCCGTCATGCTCTGCCTAGCCAGACAGGCACCCCACAACTCCCCGTGTTTGCGGCCAGTGTCGCTGAAAGACTTCTTCCTTTCTAAACATGTGCGGGATCACCCCTTTAATTATTTAATAGGGATGAGCTCCTCCCAGGCAAGTCTGTATTTCTGGGTCTAAAGATCCTTGAGAACTTGCGGGGTCTGGTGCTGGTGGAAACGGGAGCTCACAAGCACAACCGGAGCAGTGACGGGGAGTCCAATGCGCCAGAGGACTAGTCTCCCAAGGCACGGCCCTCGGCTGCCGGAAGTCCTAACCAATGTCAGCTACTGTGAAATATGAATGTTATTTACCTGTTCGATTTTTCCCATCCTTAGCATTCAGATCAGCTCCAAGAGAAAGAAGCGTCTTGATTGTGCCTGCATGCCCTTCCTGTTGCAAATTAAAAAATACAATTCCCATGACTTAACACATACCCACACAACACACAACCTTTCCCATTCTCTGCACTAGCCTTCTCCTTAACCCGCTGCCTTCTGGGTTTGTTGGACTACAACTCCCAGCACCCCCAGTCAGCAGGGCCAATGGTACAGGTCAGGGAAGGACACTCTGGTCTCATTTCCCTTGTGTGTAAGTGAGAAACCCAAAGCAGAAAATCACACATTTTGCATGTATAAAATCCATATTTCTGTACAGTGCGTGAAGCTTCTTGGCTCTCTGGTTTCAGGCTCTGATTTATCTAGCACAGTTAATATGCTTGCAGCTAAAGATTTATCAGGAGAATCATGTCCCATTAAGATAAAGATCAATTTTCGTTCTGGAAGGCAGGCAGGCAGGGAGCCGGCAGCCCTCAGCCTGGATCAAAAGGGCTGAAAGCCATTCCAGCAACAGGGAACCCAGCACAAACATGTAGCATTCAGAAAAACAGAAAGAAATTTAACATGTGCTTTTAGTCTGGTTCCTTGCCTTAAAACCAAGTCTGAAACACTACACTGTTGGTTGCCCTGAAAAAACCTGTTGTTTTTGGGATACCAAAGCTGCAATTCTGTGCAAGGTTAGACAGAAAAACGGCCTGCCGCTCATGCTGGTAGTGGGAGAGCAGTGAGCTGCAGGGCGTCTTTCTGTCAAAACACACACAGGATTGTGTGCTAAAGATTTTAATACTTAATGTTGGTGTTTTATTGTTCTAGGGTTCTGCTGTTTTCAAGTTTTGTACACTGCCTTGATGTCTTTCTGGCAGATAAGACAGTATAGAAATCTTAAACAGCAATAAAGATAATGGTAATTATTATACTGAGCTGCAAAGCTTCAAGGGACTTTGTCTTTTTCTTCTTTTTTTTGCAGGGAAGTACCAACAGCAACACAGTGAGAAATCAACTGCAGTCACATGTTTTCGCTGCCAGATCCTGGCAGCAAAAAGATCAGCTGGTATCCTAGGATATCATTTGCTTCAGATGTAAAAAAGGCCCTGTTATTTGCTGTCAGGCCTGGATGTGCCAACAGTGTCAGCATTTGCTCTAATTGCAAAAATAAAGAGTTCAAATTTGGTAGGTTTGTTTGCGTCACCTTGGTCCGAGGTTCCACACCACAGAGTACACGAATTTTGCATTTATATTTCCCAGTTATTTGTTTTTCGGTTTGTATCGTTGTTTTGGATGTGAGATTCCCTTTGATGTGGCCGTTGGCTTGCTCAATAAATATGCCAAGAAAGGCTACATCCAAAGCATCAATTTCCAAATGGAGGAATTCAGCACAAGAGTTGAAGATGTCCGAGCAGCATGCAAGATGGGAAGCCTGGCCTTTGCAAAGATGCTTCTCCCGTAATCAAAGCATAATCTTGGCAAGGGAGGAAAAAGACCTCTCTGGTGCTGGAAGAGATGCTGGACGCCAGTGGTGCTGCTACCCCCTAGAAATGGCCGGTTCCAGGCCGGTTCCCCCTCTGTATCAGGGTTCCACCCAAATGGACAGTTGTGGTCCTGCAGTGGCACACGCAACGTCATCGCAATAGCAACGGATCTGGCAGCGAGCAGACGTGGAGGGGACCTCTGGGTGAACGTTCGTCTTGCCATCACTGTGGAATTCATTTTGGGGCTAACATCTCATAACCACTCCCACTGGTCCTCGTCCCCAGTCGCTCCCGTCTTTTCCCTTATCCCAGGTTAAGTAAGAAAAGATGGAACAGCTGCACAATGCCCCCCCCCCCCATCAGCGGAGCTGGCTAGGGGTCCTCCATCTGGAAGCACCAAGAGAATCCAAGGCTCTAACCATTTGTTTTAAAAACATCAAGTTTCTAGCCCTTGTTACCAAGGGCTGCCTATACGTCAGAAAGCTGGGAGAACTTTCAGGGAACAAGGGGAATGAAATGCAAGGAGCTAAGTGACTTCCAGGGCCCCAATGGTGGGCACAGCTCCTCACGATGGTGCATTCGCAGCCAAAGTTAAGACTATAGGGCAAAAAATGCACACGCTTCATTTTTACAGATATATTCAGGACACAGAATTGGCCTTTTCCGTTTCCTTCGCATGGGGAAAATTGCTTTTTAAAGATCTAATCCTAGCTACGAGAAGCATGGAAGGTAATTATCTCTGATCAGAACAGCGAAACTGAAGCCAATGGTACCCAAGAGGCTGTGGAACGCATGTTAATGCTGGGCAGCCTTTAACAAAAATAAGATGTGAATAGAGTGGCTGGTCTAAGTCAGTTTGGGAGCCTGAAGGGGGAAGCTGCTCCACTGTGCCCACTGAAATGGGGCCCGATCCACCTGGGAACGCCTTCCGAGAAAGCCTCATTGAAACGAACAGGACCTGGGCTTCTGGGGCGCTCTCTCAGCACTGGCGGTGGGGCCCCCAAATCCACTTTCTCAGCCGCCCGGCTGACCGCCTCCTCTGCCCGTGCGGGTGGCCTGCGTGGATGCTGGGGCAGTTCCGCCTGCCAGCCTGGGGCTCAGCGTGCAAGCGTTTCCCCCTCGCCAGGTGTTCCCAGGGCTTGGCGCATTACAAGCTCTGTGCTCCAAAGCCAGCAAGTGGGACGGCCACCCCTGGCTGCAAAAGGACTTGCGACTGATCCTATTAGTCCAACAGAAGGAACTGTGCAAAGTCTCCACAGTTTTTGGGACCACATCAGTCCAGGTGAAATGGACGGCAAGAAGTTGCCGTGATGAACCGTTAGGCCAACATCATAAAACGCAACGCAGCTGCTTGCCCAGAGCCAAATCCCGAAATCCTCTCAGACGCGTCTGAGCTCCAAGCACCCCACCTCCCATTCCCTGCTGCTTTTCAGGCATCTCTGAAAACCAAATGATTGCCTCTGCCGAGTTCTAAGCCCACGAAGCTTATGCCAAGGGCTCTGAACATTTGGGAGCCAAACTCAGGGACTACAAAGACACCATTCATACCAGCACAGGTGAAGTTAAAAAAAATTTAATTTTATATTATTGTATCTCAGTGTATTTTTTGTATTTTTGTATTTAGTGATAATTTATTATGTTCTATTGTATTTCAATGTATCTTATTGTGTTGTAAGCCGCCCCGAGACTTCGGCAAGGGGTGGCATAGAAATGTTATAATAATAATAATAATAATAATAATAATAATAATAATAATAATAAAGTTCTTACAACCAACAACCAGCAACCAGCGTGGTGCAGCGGTTAAGAGTGCGGGGCGTGGTTGGTGATCTGGGTTCGAGTCCCCATGCAGCCATGGGGCTCACTGGGTGTCCTGGGGGCACTCGGACACTCAGCCCAACCTACCTCACAGGGTGCTTGTTGTGAGGGCAAGAGTGAGAGCAGCGGGAGGAGCTTTATGTAAGGCACCTTAAGTTCCTTGAAAGGAAAAAAGGCAGGATATAAATATTAAAAGAAAAATAAGCAAGCGATGCCGTAGGAAAGGCATTTGAATCTTTTGGAATGGTTGGGGGTGCATAGATGGGGTGCTGGGGGTGGCCTATGGGAGACACTTCTGCAGCCAAGGTGGATCGTGGCCCAGGAGGGCTTCCCAGGTGTAGAGCAAGCCCAGGCCGCTTGTCCCACTCCTCTTTCTCCCCACTCTCCGGGGTTTGAGCCATGCCCGCTGCAGCTTTGGTGCCGCTTTGCCACATGGAGAGGGATATGCTTAATTTATATTGTTAATTTATATTATTCTATTTTGAAGTTTATTTATGGTTGCGAGCCACCCCGAGGCTTCGGCGAATGGGGCGGCATAGAAGTCTCCTAAATAAATAAAATAAATAAATATGCTCTGTGTTAAGGGCTCCCATCTACTGGGGAAGCAGCACCGGAACTTAACCCGGGACGTCACCAGCAAGCCTCCCGGGAAAAGGAAAGGAAGGAATCATTTATTATGTTGGAAGCCGTCCCGAGGCTTACGCGAATGGGACGGCACACAAAAACTCCAAATAAACAAACAAATACATCACTATATAAAAAAAAAAGCGCAGGACCTTGGCGGCATAATGCAGCGCGGTGAGCTGGAGCGAGGTGGCCGCCGCGTTGACGTTGACGCCCAGGTCCGAGACGAGGAAGCGAAGGGCATCGTCCTGCGCAGTGACGGCCGCCTGGTGCAGGGGCTGGGCGCCCAGGGCATCCCTGGCGCTGCAGGACGCCTGCGGGAGAGCACAGCAACGTCGTGCGTGAGGCACGCACCTGGCATCCGGGCTGCCGCTCTGCATTTCTCCTGTGCAAACCCTCCGGTTCACGGAGCGGATCCATGGAGCGAAGCCGGCTCAGAGCACTAGGGTGCAGCGGCCGGATGCTATTCCACATAACGGGAGGAAACAAGGGATGGCGATCCTACGGAAAACGGCCGGCAGGGATCAGGGCAGCACACTCTCTCTCAGTTAGAAGCCCATTAACTGGGTGCTGGGGAACAAACAGGGAACCGCGAGCAAACTTCTCCTGCTCTCTCCAAGCTCCGTTTCTCGGCTGTGGGAGAACAGCCTTCCCCCACCCGACAGCCTCCAGATACGTTGGCCTACAAGCCCCATCGTCCCCAGCAGGGAATGATGGGCGCTGTAGCCCAACACATTTGGGAGGGGTCAGATCGGGGAAAGCTGAGACGGAGTGTGCAAAAATATTGGTAGACCGCATTATAGGAACTTCTGGTAGCTGCGATTCTTGTTTCTGTTGTTGTTGCATTACGTTTTTAGAATTTTAATATGACGAATTAGGACCAGGAAACTGCCAAGAAAGCCATGCGCTTTTTGAGGACAGTCCGTCCCCTCCACCGGTAATCCACTGCCGCATCCCCAGAGAAACTCAGCACACGAGGCCTGCTGAGCACCGTTAGCCCTTGACGGGCCATTCCGGGGATGGGTTCCATGTCTCTGCAAACCCTGAGTTTCCCCAGAGCCGGCAGAGGTTGGCTCTTGGGTGAGGCTGCCGCCATTTTGGACACGTAAAAGGGCCAACACCTGGAGAATAAGCACAGTTTTGGCCCAGGTGATATGACGCCTGCAGGTGCATGCCCCTCCCACTTTCCTCACCAGGCCCTTCAGGGCTGCCTCCTTCCTATGCGGCGTTTGCCTCTGTTGGGAAAGTTCAGATAAGTCCTGGCAGAAAAGGGTTGCTTCTATGTGCCTTTGTGTTATAAAATCAAACCTGCACCCCTTTCTCAGAAAGCAGCAGAATTCCGAGCCAGGTTACAGTTCAGCATTGCTGTTACTTTAAGAAGATGGAATTCTTAGCTGGACTGAGAAGCTGCTGGAGGCTGACCCTATCGGTGGGGAAAAACCAGTGTTCCCATCCGCCGCAGAAAGACTGGAACAACGGTGTCCATTTGTTTCTGAACCTGAGCATCTGGTCCCACAGAGGCAAGCGCCTGCGGAGCGTGGCTGCCAAACCAGATTTCAGGAATGGTTCCTCCATCGGACACATTTGCATGTTTAAACAGGATCCAAACTGCAAGGCGGTCTACTCAGTTGACAGGTCAATAAGGCAATCAGGAATGTTTTCCCCATTATTGTTACCAGTATTTCTGGTCGCTTTAGAACATTACGTCATGCCTGAAGATACGAGGATGCCATCGTACCAACATGCTCCGGAAACTGAACACTCCGCATTGATGTGCGTGACGAGCAGGTTATAAAAGTGTCTGTTCGTGGGCGCTGACTTGGCAGTCGGAGGTGAGAACCGCTGCCCGGCCACGTGCTGCCTAAGTCACGGCAGGGTCCTGGGGGATCTTTCAGTAAAAGGCGAAAGGGGTCTTTCCCGGCTGAATCCGGGTATCCTGTGTCACGGCTGCCGTCCGGGCTTCCCGACACCTCCCACCTCCCCATCCCGTTCCTGCCTCATCTTGCCCTCCATCCCAAAACTCACCTGGGAGACATCAAAATGCACGTCATGCGTCAGAGAGGCATGAAAAGCACCCGCAGCTGATGGCAAGAGAAGAGAAGGCTCCCCGGCCCTCGGTTTAAAGGCCCGCTGTGCCGTTCACACGCACCTTGTGCTTGTCCAGAAGCAGCCGGGCAACGGCGAGGTGCCCGTTTTGGACTGCGTCCATAAAGGGAGTGACTCCGCACTTGTCCTTGCTGTCCGGCTCGTAGCGGCACCTCGGAATAAACGCAGAAGGGGCAGGTGAAGCAGGGACAGGCCGCTCCTGCACAGAGCGCTGCGGGCGTAGCGGTCAGGCCTCGCCGGAGGGCAGGGCCGACACCTTTCTGCCCCGTGACGCACGACGGCTGCACGACCGCGATCCCCAACGTGGTGCCCAGGAGGTCGCCTCTTTTGGCATCTGCCAGGCTTCCTGCCCCTCCGGACTGTTCCTTCATTGTAGCTTCCGCAAAAATAACTCGGGAGGCTGCCACATTTCCAGAGCACCGGGCTCTGCTCAGCGCCCACTTCATTTTGGCTCAAGAGGGATATTCTGCTTGGAGCTCAAGCTCCACTTCAGCCCATCATTCTAGTCCTCAAGAAAGTAACTTTTCTCTGAATCTCATCTGTTTGCCTCCCCGCTCTCCAGGGAACGGGTGTTTCGTGACTGGCAGTGCCTGTCGTGGCAGCCAGGTTATGCACTGGCAACAGCCCTAATGGCCGCCATTTTGTGAGAGTGCCCATGGCACTCTCTCAACATTCCAAATGGGGCTCTGATACGGATAGAAAATGAGGAGGGTGCTGAGCAACGGGGAAACCAAGAGCACCAAACACCTGCTTACCTGTCCAGCAGCACCTCCACCACCTCCAGGCGACCGTGCATCACTGCATAAGAGTGGAAAGGGATTAGAAATGGCTCTGATATGAGAGAGACGAGGAGCAGGTCATGCGTTTTAAACAAAACTACTTTTCCTTCCTGTTCTGGTCACGAATGAAAATCTCATTCGTTGCCGATATTTCTGTAGGCACGATAGAATTAAAATAGGATGGGTGCTGTGATCGTTTAGTCTTATTTATTTCTTACTTAATTTTCTGTTTGTATCAGACTGGACAGCTCTGCAGCGAGGGTGAGTCAGAAGCTGACCCAGGGAAGGCCACAATTCTTCACAAGTTCAGGGCTTTCAGGATTCTTTGTTCAACCCCAAAATGAAGTATACAAAGCTAGCCAACCCCAAGTATGTTGGGACTACAACCCCCATCTTCCCCTGCAATTGCTATCAAATAGGGGTCACCTATGTGACACCTGCAGCACCTCTGGGGCATCCTTGGCCACCTGCCAAACTTTATAATCCCCCCACCCCCAATTTTAATGCACCTATCTGGATTTTCATGCATTCATAGCAAAAGCAATGAACAACTCTCTAGCGATTATGCAAACATTTCAACAAAAGTGGACCAAATATTCAAACAGAAACAGAGCGAGTCAGAAGGGGTCTCCCGGGCCATCTAGTCTGACCTCTAATAAGAACCCATGTGAAGGTGGCAGCTATTTATCACCCATTCAGACACTGAAAACTTCCTAAGGTACGAACATAAGCCAGCATGGTACAGTGGGTAAGAGCGCAGGACTGGGACTCAGGAGATCCGGGTTCAAGTCCCCACTCAGCCATGGAGCCCACTGGATGACTTTGGGCCTGCCAGCCCAGCCTACCTCACAGGGTTGTTGCTATAGGGAAAAGAGTGAGAGCAGCAGGAGGGGAAGGATGTCAGCTGCTTCTGAGCTCTTGTTAAGAAAAAGGGAGGATACAGATCTGATTAATAAATAAATGCATAAGAGGAGCTGGGCTGGATTAGGCCAAGTGCCCAGCGAGTCTAGCGTACCATTCCTGCAATGACCGACCAGCCGCCCTTGATTCCTGAACGCGGGACAGGAATGTGAGCACGGCCCCCATCCAGGGTCGCAACATCCATCTTTTTGCCGCCAGACGGTCTCAGCACATCCACTCACTTGGACCATTGCTTAATTTCCATGAGTAAGTGATTCAAAAGAACGAGTGTGCAGCAGAATTCATCAGTGAATATGGAAGTCTCTTCCTGTACTAAATTTACCTGCATAATAACCTCCTCCTGAAAAGAAGCAACCGTGCGAGCTTCCCAAAACGTGTGTTTAAAAGAAGTTAGATCCGCTCTTGGATGATTGATTGATTGATTTTTGAATGTATAGTCTGCCTTTTTCCGACAAAGGGCTCAAGGCAGCTTACATCTCCTCCTCCATCTTATCCTCACAACAACAACCCTGTGAGGTAGGTTGGGCTGAGTGTCTGTGACTGGCCCAAAGCCACCCAGTTGGCTCCATGGCTGAGCAGGGACTCGAACCCGGATCGTCTGAATCCCAGTCCCGTGCCCTTCACCACCACACCACACTGGCTCTCCAATTGTCTGTATTAGGCAATTCCTTTCTAAAATAACGTTGCCGTGTCTGGCAGACACAAGGCGAAAGTTTTTGCTGGACAAGATGTCGGCTAAGAGCCACAGGCATGATGGGTGCAGAAACCAAAGCAACGATCTGTGGTTAGGCATTCTGAAGTAGTTCCCGAAATTTCAAATACACCCCAGGTTGAAAAAGCCAGGGCACCCCTCCGTAGGCGGTAGCAACCTCTAGCTGGGTGATGGCCACGATCCATCAGATGCGCAAGGACCTGTGAACAACCCCAGTGACGAAGAGCGCATACATGCCTGCGACATATCCCAGAATTTCTTTTTATTTATTTATTATTTATTAAAACATTTCTATGCCGCCCCATTCGCCGAAGCCTCGAATTTCTTGTGCGTGGGCGAGGGATACGCCACAAAGACTATTTATTTTGTCACGCTCTGTTCTTGGGAATTGGTGAAGGCACCTCTGGAGTTAGGACAGCAATTCATGCAAAGGAGGTTAGGCTGAAAACCTGTGAATGGCTTATGGGGCTACACCACCCTAGTTGCGTCACTGTAGAACATGTGAAGCCCCACATTCAGCCCACTTGGGGTCCCAATTGAACCCTTTGGGGCATGCCAGATCACCCCACTTCCTTGCCCCCCAAGTATGTGGCGATTTTATGGCTTTTGCACCTTGCCCCCCATTCTAGTGGGTGGAAATGCCCCTCCCTAAAGTTTTGGTTATTGGCCCAAGGAGCTCGCAGCTAAAGCGTGCTAGTATATTTGGCCCCACCCATTTTCTCTCTGGCCACGCCCACCCTGGGATGCAGCCCCCAAGAGCTTCTCCAGGAGGGAACTCGGCCCTTGGGTTGACTGGGGTTCAACACCCCTGCTTTGGGGAGGAGGCGGTGGGAGATGATGGGCACCGAAAAGCCGAAGCACTGACTCCTCCCCTGAAGTTCCCCTGCTGGCCGGTTCTCCCCCCCCCCCCCCCCCGCAAAGCCCTTCTGTTTCTGGACTGGAGACCAGGATAACACCCTTTGGGGTGGCCTGAGACGGCCCAGGTCCTGCGGTGGGACTGCACAACTCCAGGGAAGACCAGACTGAAGCATTTTCTGCTGCCAGCTTGAAAGGCAGCGGTCTGGGCTGCACATGGAAATTTTTCCCGTGCCTGCCTCTGAGCAGACTCATCACTCAGCCCAAGCGCCGTTCCTACCTGCTGTATGCAGAGGGGTCCTTTTGATCTTGCTCTCGGTGTCCCAGATGCTAGGAGAGACATCCAGCAGGTACCGGACAACCCGGGGGTCCCCCTCCCGGCTGGCTATATGGAAACAGTTCCAGCCATCTTTGTTCTTCAGCAGTGGGTTTGCTCCACGCTGGACGAGGACTTGGATGACCTCCAGGTTCCTCCTCGTACAAGCCATCATCAGGGGAGTCCTGAAGAGGGGAAGGCGGGAGTGGAGCAGGGGCTGACTTTCAGGGGTGGAAACATCTTCCTGATTTACAGGAATCCATGTTCAATATTTTGGAGCCAGCTCTAGGCTGGCAGGAGAAATATTTCATATGCTGAGGAGCATGGGAAACCAGGCGCATGGCATTTTGCCTGCTCCTGCTTCTAGTCATCTTTTAAAAGTGGTTGTTACACATACCTTACTATAGGGAGTGGGTGACTTCGGACCCCTAGATATTTTGGCTTCCAACTCCCATCAGCCACTGGGGAGTGAAGGTGGGAACTTAGACTTAAACATCTGGAAGGCCATAAGTGGTCCACCTCTGCAATGAAGCCTAAGTTTAGGCGGGTGTCACAATATTTCAGCACATCGAAGGAAAAAAATATTTTCAGGAAAGCTCGTTCTTTGACCTGGGGCAATTTGGCCACGCAGAGTGTGTGGGAACGCCAGGTGCTGACGGAGAGCTCCAAAAAACCAGCAACCCGGTGCATTGTCACTGTGACAGAGGCCAACTCCATTTGATGCTTAATTAGGAAAGTCATCCTGCCCATAGGCAAATTCCTCCTGCACCCAACTTTTGGCGTGCTTTGTAGGGTTCCGACTGCAACACCCAAAATGGTCATTGCAGAACTGGGCACAGTGCAGAAAAGCCTGACATTCCAACATCTGAAGGGGAAGTGCCCACCTCGTATCCTTCAATGGATTGAAAAGCTACTGACCATCGCCATAACCAGTTGCGGGTTCTCCTTGGCCGTGCCAAGCACGGTGAATTGAAAGGAAGGCCGCAGGAGAGGGCAGCAGTTTTATAACCTACCAGTCGGCTTTCTTCAAGCAGTCCACGGCTGCCCCTCTGTTCAGCAGGTACAGAACGCAGTCTGTGTGGCCCATGGAAGCAGCTTCATGGAGTGGCTGCTTGTAGTCGTGATTAAGCAGCTCGACGTCCACGTCAAAGGCCTCAACCAGCCACCTGAGGATGCTGAGCTGCCCGTGCCGGGCGGCGTAGTGGAGCAGCGTGTCTCCCGACCTCCCAAAGTGCTTCTTCTGTACGTCCTTGCTCAGACCGGCCACCTTTTGAATCTCTTCCTTAAGAAGGGCGAGCTTCCCTTCCTGAACTAACCGGGGGAGCAGTTTCTGCGATTCCCCTTCGGCCATCGCTGAGTCCTAGAGGCTGGAGGGACAAACATCCAGGATCAGAGGGACACATCCGCATTTATTCCTATTACACACACAAGATTATACAATCGAAATTGATAAAATGTTTAAAATTTATAAAACAGACACACTACCGGAGGTCATTTGTCATATTCTGGAGTGTGCGTTGCATTGTCTGGATCCGGGTTAATATTCCACCACAAATAACCTTAAAGGGAGCTTCAAATCTCTGCTATGCAAAAAAATGCCACCTTCTTTTATTTTAGGTGAGCCCAGCGAAGGCTGGAAGCTTGCGTACTTAGGACCGAGCTGTGTATGTTTTTGGGAAGGACCAGCAAGATTGGTTTTAATTTTTACGTACTGTGGTGCTTCGTAGTTTGAACAACTCTAACTTCGAAGGATCCAGAGTTCAGTTGTTAGAGTCAAGATAAAATCTCTTCCAAGTTTGAATGATGCTTCTAAGTTCGAATTGCAGGCATAGTGGAAAAAATGTGAGTGCTCCATAAATGTTATCAGTTGTGTGTCCAAGTTGTCTCTCATCTGTGCCTTTTCAATCCTTCTTGGGACCTTTTAACTGCCTGCCTTCCCAGTCATTCCCACTGCCTTTTCGATACTTTTCTGCTTCACCACTTCTCATTAAAACAGGTGGGCAGTAAATGCAGTCTTCATTTTATTATTACTGTACATATTTGCATATTTTATTGAGTTTTCAAGTTTTAATTAGTAAATTTGGCATTTAATTGTGTTGTTTTTACGCATAAAATTATATGCATTTGCTGCTGAGGTTTATTGAAATGGGTATTGTTCAGGTTCTGGAAATGGATTAACTCATTTTCCATTATTTCTAATGGGAAACATTGCTTTGGACTTCAAACAATTGAGAGCTCAAACAGCCACCTGAAATGAATTCAGCTCAAAGTATGAGGCACCACGGTAGTAGAAATGGTAGGATAAGATTCCCAAGCGAACAATCTCTGGTTATTTTAAACGGCCTCCTCCCAGTTACTCCACTGGGCAGGACCATAGCAACGGGGTGGAGATTGCAAGCAAGCAGTTTTTGGCTTCGTATTAGGAGAAATGTCCTAAGCATAAAGGTTGCCTATAGTAACACACCGTGGCTGAGGAGGTGGTGGGCACTGGATGCTGGGCCTTGAAGTCAAATGCACCTGGTGGACTCTAAGCTAGAGAAGCCTGCCCTAATATTAAGGGAGTGGAAACAAAAAGACATGCAATTGTAGGTATTACACAAGCCTGCAGAATATGAAAACTTAGGGCCCGACTGGATGCACTTTTAGACAAAATAAATCCTACAATTTGCAGCATTCACCATGCGGAATCTAGGAGTTGTGGGTCTTTTTCTGCCTAAACGTGCAATTTATTGTATTATTTAAAACTGTTATACTCTGTCCACCACTGACATCTCGGGATGGCTTACAAGAAGAAACAACGGCTTACAATAAGGAACGCTGTTGCATAATTGAGCGCCTGGTTCCTGCAGCACCTGGACTGTGGAGGTATTTGTTCGCACCCCATCTGAATGTACACATCATCCTTGTGTAGCTATCAGGGCAGAAAAAGTACCTGTTGATCAGGATCGGTCCCTCTCTTTGCACATGGGCAGATCAGGAGAGCAGCAGGTGGCACTTTCAGAGGTAAAACTGAAAGCCAGAAGGGAAGACGCCAAGGACAACCGAGGGTTATAGCATCTGCACAAGAAACAGTCATTTAACGCACAATGAAATGACAGGTTATTGGGAATCGTGGAAACCAATCTATGCTCATTGGTTAAATGCGGTAATTCAAGGAAATTGTGGCCACTGCACTCCAAAGTGGCAAAACGCAAGCACACAGAAATGACTAAGGAAAGAAATGCTCTGAGAAACGAGGAATTAGCCGAAGCAGTCAGGAGCTCCCTGGAGAGGAGTCGTTCTTCTTCCCAAAGGAGGCAGGCATCTTGTGTAGGCTTAGCGAGCCCGTGGCCATCTTTTGACAGCAGCCTCTGAGCAATGCATCCACGCTGGCTGGCGTAAGCCAAATGAACCCATGTGACGTGGCATCTGCGGATGCAGAACTGCTTCCTGGGCACAGAGATCCTCCCACTTGCAAGCAAAATTGTAAGCACACCCCTGCCAGGAAGAACACGGGGTAACATTACCCCGCAGTTCTCAGATGCTCCCCCAGTTCTGCATTTGACACAGTGCTACAGCCGCTCCCTCTTCCTGGAGCATTTCCTGAGCCTTTGGCCTCAGAGGGTCTGGAAAAAAGGAAACTAAAGCAGGTGGGAAATGATGGGAAAGGCTCTCCATGTTGCATTTCAGCCTGCCAGAGTTGGAAAGCACAGCAGGGATCTCGCCACACGTCTTCCTTGCGACGCTCCCTCTCCAAGATCCCCTAGAGAGCTATTACTACAGGCCACTGAAAAAAAAAATTAAAAGGAGCAAGAGAAATAATAATCCTGTGTACCAAGAGCAAAGTCCTGAGGCCAAGACTGAGCACAAGAGGGAGGTGTCCGCAGGCACCGGAAAGCTCAAGTCTTCCTCTGCCAAATCTTTTTTAAAACCTTAAATGGGGGCAGCCCCCCCGCAAGCGCATTTAATGGACATGAAATGTCTGAGGGAAGAAAAGCCCAGGGCAGGGGGAAGGGGAAGGGAAGGGAGGGGAGGGAGAAGGCTGGGAAAGGGGATGGGTGGCTTGCACATGGCACAGGAAGGTGCAGCACTCCAGCAATTTGATGCAGCCTGCACATGCCCTATTTATCCCCCCCCCGCTTAACGCCCCCCCCTCCCAGCAAGGCGTGCGGGTGGGAGCAGTAACGCATTGAGTCACCTAATTCAAAGCACAGAACGAGAGAGAGAAACGAACCCGGCAAGACGCATGTACTAAAAGGGTCAAAAAGAGCCACGAGATGCTAAATTTGGATCTGGGGACCGTCAGGTTTTTCGCCTTTGACTGACAGCCTGCGGGGGGGGGGAACTGGGGGGCGCGCTTCTGTCACAGCATGGCAGCCCGAGGGCGTCTGCTGCGTCAGGCATTCCCATGTCAGTTTTCTTGCGCAAACGGGCGCCTGCGCGTGCGCGCTGCCTCTTCCCCGTCTCCCCGCGCAACCCGCTTGACGAAAAGCTCTGCAGGTCTCGCAAGCTGGCGTCCTCTGAGCGCGTTTTCTGCTGGCGGCTAGTCCGGATTGGGGCCTTTTTCCCGGAGTCAGTACGTGCGCTTTCCCTTCCCCACCCCGCTCCTGCAGCGTGCATCCAACGCTAGGCTCCCTTAAGTCCCGGTTCTTTCAATGGGTCTACTCTAAGTAGGGCTAACCCTGGATCCAGCGCCTTCAGGTCTGCTCTTTTTTTTTTTTTTTTAACCCCGCACATGGAAGATTCCGACGGTTCCCATGAGAACCGGAAGCGGTACGTACTTGCTGCGGTTCTTCTCTCTCTGGAGCTGGAGAGGAACCCGAGCCTCCTCCCGGGCAAGGTTCCACCGGCGCCATGGCAACGGCTCGGACGACTCCGGAAGGGCTCGGAGCCGACGAGCTCTGCGACTGGCCAGCCGGGACGTCAATCAGCGGCCGGGGGCGGGCAGGCGGAGCTGCGTAAGTAGTGGAGGAAGTGCTGGGGCGCGCCCGGGATCCGTGGCAGGCGGGGCGGGGCGAGCCGGTCCGGTCCGGTCCGGTCCGGTCTGGTCTGGTCTTCTCCTCTCCTCTCCTCTCCTCTCCTCTCCTCTCCTCTCCTCCGGACGGGGCTTCCGCCCAGACGCGAGTAAGTCGGCGGCGAGCGGGGATCACGCCCGAGCGCCAGCTCGCCGCTCCGGGGGCTGGACACGGATGGGCTGCGTTCCGACGAGACGGTAACCCGCGCGCTCGGGGTTTCGGGTCCCCGCAGCAGCAGACGACCCGAGGCGGGTTCCTCCGCGCGAATTGCAAATGAAAAGGAGGATCAGGAGACGCCTGGGAGGGAGGGAGGGAGGGCGGGCTGCGTTCAGACGCTGGGATGACCCGCATTCCAAGATTGCTTTCCGAAGCTGTTTAGCTTTATATCCCGCCCTTTCCCCCCCAAAGCGGCTTCCATCCTTCTCCTCCTGCTGCTCTCACTCATCCCCAGAATAACAATCCCGTGAGGTAGGCCGGGCTGGGGGTCTTTGACCAACCCAAAGTCGTCGAGTTGGCCCCGGGGCTGAGCGCGGCCTAGAACCCGGGTTTGCCCCCGCGCGTGTGTGAAGGACGGACGCGAGTTTGCCCGGGTGTGCCCAGGCTGCCTTTCGGGAGGAAGCGGTGCGGCGACCCTGAACGACTGGCCTGCCCGGCGCCTGCTCACATTCTTGCAAAACGCGATAACGGGGGGGGGGGGGTGCTTTCCCCTCGGGCCTCCATTTTGCCTCCTTTGTGCACGGAGACCTTTTTCTGCGGGAGAAAAGTTTCCCCACCTCCCTCCCCGGAGTGCTGGGCCGGCTATTGTACGCGCCGGGGCCGAATCCCGCTTGGGCGGACAATTCTGGCTCTCCGTGTGGGTCCGACTCGTCTCGGCGGCGTCGTGTGGCTGGACGAGATGGACCTTGGCTCTGATCCAGCAGGATCTTAGGTCGTGTGTTCTGTCTGAGCGTGCATAGGATCGTGCTCTGGACCGTGTTTCACTGCTGTACAAACGCGCACATTTCTTTATAACCAAGTTTATTTAACCAGAGTTTAACTTCGGGTTCGGGTAGAGCTTGCTGCGTCTACAGTGTGAATGTTCCTGGAAAGAATATTCTTGCTACTCGTTCGTTCATTCATTCATTCATTCATTTTATATTCCACCCCTTTAGCCATAGGCTGTCTGGATGACTCACAACACAGTAAAATCCATAATGTACCACAGAAAGGACTGGCTGTATCAACAACACTGTCATCTTCCCTTTCTGTCTTGTGATTGCATAACTCTTCTTCTCGCCTCTGTTTTATCCTCCTTTTATAGACAACAGCCCTGTGAGGTAGGGTAGGCTGGATTGCCCAAAGGGGCAGGGCCGTCTTACCAGCATTATGGGCCCCGGGCAGAGCAGTGTACTGGGGTCCTACAATCGATATGTATCATATAGGATACAAGGTGCATTGAAGAGTTAACAGACACAGATTAGTATGGGGCCCACGGGCAAGTGCCCATCAGGCCCGTGCGCTGAGACGGCCCGGCAAAGTGGGTCGCGTGGCCGAGTGGGGACTGGCCCTCCTGTCTCCTCAGTCCTCATCCAACACACTCTCTGCCCCACTGCACTGGGTCTCAGTGTATTGTCATACTTAGAATTTCTGCTGATTTCCGAAACTTCCATCAAGGAGCCTTTCCTGCAAGGCTGTTGACACAGCCCTTCGGATCCTGCCCTCTCCTGCTGTCTTATACCTGTGTGCCTGGGTCCAGCTCCTTGGAACCGAGTGCCGTCCTTGTGTGTCTCCCCTCCTTCAGTCGGTGATCTCTCTTGTATAGAAGTTCAGAATGGAAGCTCCTTGGGACAGGGTTCCATCTGTCACATGTGCTGATGGAGTCATGCTTGTCCTTGTGACTATAATAGTGCATCATTCCTTTTTTTATCCTACAAACAACCCTGTAAGGTAGGTCATTTTCATCCAGATGCTGCAAATGGAGGATGGGGTGAGGATCAGAGAGAGGGGCTTGCCCAGTGCCACCCGCTGAGCATGTGGTAAGGCTTGCGGCAGTGGCAGAACTCCCGATAGCCTTACTAAGGAGTAAGTGCCATTGAAAAGAGGATTTACTTTCTCTGTAAGCATATGTCAGGTTGGACTGTCGGCCTTCTGGCTGCTGCATGTGGTCGGAGGGTTCAGGGATCTTCTTGTGTGAGTTCAGTTATCCTTTCCTTCACATTGCTGGCTTTCTCCAGGCTGAATCAAACTGAGCAAAGCGCGACCTTGTCTTTTGTGTCAACAACAGTGCAACGTTTTAAGCAGCTCCGCTTAACAGCCGCTGACTGTGAAGCTCTGAGTCAGAGTCAAGAGGGCAGCTCATCCTTAACGCAGCTGTTGGCCCAGCGGCGGGGCAGCCAAACCACCCACCGAGGCCTCTACCCCACTCACCGAACGAAGAAGAGGCCGAGAGGTACAGCAACACCCTCGTGTCCCGATGCGTCACGTTCCTGGAAGCTGCAGGGTGCATGCGATGGCCCGCTGAGTTGGGATCGCTGAGATGCGGCGCAGGCCCAGCCTGGCTCTTTAGGGCTTTGAGAACCAAGACTCCTTCACGCTGCCCTCAGCGGCCCTCTGATGCCATCACGGGAGAGGTGCCAAGCAGGGTCTCTCGTTTGTGTGTGTCCTGCCATCCCAGCTTCTCGCTATAGGAACTTTATGATTTTAAGGATCGGCACCTGGGCATGATCATTTGCCTTCTCCTTTCTCACATCCTTTCCCTTTATTTATTTAACCCTTCTGTATCCTGTTGCAATGTCTGTCTATCATTACATGCATTTATACCCTGTCCTATTGCTTCAAGCGCTCAGGATGGCTTATAAAATATATAAAATACAATAAATATAAAACTAGTATAAAAACATTAATTATTAAAACAATATAAAACATCACTATGAAGTGTGACCATGAAAAGGGGGGCTTTCTGGACAGTTTACATAATAAAATCATAACAGAACAAAAACTACATAAAACAATTAAAACAATACCAGCAAACAATAAAACAATACAGCATCCCCAACACAGCAGGGTCACCAAGTAATAACATACACTAACATAACAGTTTGGATAAATCTTAAAAGATCACAATTAAAATACCAAATTTGCTAGTTAAAATGCCAGTCAGAATTTTTTTTAAATTAAACTTAAAATAGTCAGCAATCAAAATGGTCTGCAATAAAAACATTTTAACCTGGCGCTGGAATGTATATAAGGCAGGTGCTTGGTGGACATTTCTGGGAAGCCGGTTCCTTTGCTGTTGAATGACTGGCGGTCGAGCTGGAGGTCAGGGGCTCTCCCACTTACTGAGACCCAGGATGGAGAAGGCCCCGCCCTGACACCCCCTGGCCCAGTCTTAGCAGTGGGCCAGAGCACAGGGCTGCTGATGAGGCTTTTACGGGTTGGGCAGACTTGTCCAGGTGTGGGTGGCCCTTCAGAAAAGAGCAGGACACACCCCGGCCCTTTCCAACCCCAGTTAATGGATGGATTTGGGGGATTTCTCTGCACTGTGGGCTGTCGTGCGGCAGGCGTGCCCACCCGTTCCTCTGCGTGGTCCTCCTGGCCTTATTGCAAAAGAGCAGAAAGCAGAAGTAAGCGAGGTCTTGCAGGTCGAGGGTCCCGCAGCCTTGGAGTCTCCAACGGGAATGTCCTTGCTTTTTGTCTGTCTGCTGCTCCCACAGGCAGAGACCTTTCCTGCCTGGGCGTTAGTTGGATGCCTAACCTCTTTCAGCACAGAGGCCGAGTTCAGGTCCACAGAAGCTCTTGGTTAGTGCGCTTATCTCCAGCAATCCTGCCTTAGTGAGTGGAAAGGGAGATGGCGTTTTCTCCCTCCCTCAGAGGACCAGAATCCAAAGAGATCCTTTCATGAAGCTGCTGGGTGGGAGGTGCAGGAGAGATAACAGAAGTGCTTCTTTGCGGGGCGCATAGCTAAACTGGAATTTATTTCATGAGATGTAGATATGGGCACCCATTGGGATGGCTTCAGAAAGGGACCGGATGAATTCCTGGAGAAGAAGGTCATCTTTGGCTCCTAGTCCTCATGCTTCTAAGCTTCCTCTGGTATTGGAGGTTGTGTACTCCAGCTGATGGCGAGAATGGGTGGGAAGGTACTGTGGCACAGGTGCTGCCTGCGGGCTTCCCACAAGCCGCTGGCTGGGCAGGGACGGGACAGCATGCCGAACTAGATGGACGCTTGATCTGGTCCCCCAGGACGCTTCTTGTGTTCTTTGTGGAGATATTTCATCCTTTCACACACCTGCTCCAAAATTGGGGAACCACCAACCATTGGGGGGAAAGGGGGTGGAGCGGCCAGGGGAGGGAAAGGACGTGCTTGGAAAGCCCCAAAGGATTAGGGTTAGGGACCCCAGGCACAGTGAGAGTGTGGAAGGTGTAGGTTGTCAAACCCAGGCCCTTGCACGTGCCCAGGAGCTCTGGTCCTCACCTGTTGATCCAAAACCTCTCATGGCCGGGGCTCATTTAGGTAGCTCTGGGCCAAGTCTTCATGTAACACGTCTCATGGAGCTGTTGTGACGAGAAAATAAAGATACTGCGTATTAATGGCCAACCGTGAGACCCTGAAACAAGGCAGAAAACCACAACTGGGCCATCTCTTGCCTGAATTGCTGTTTGTGTTTCCTTCTCAGTCTCTCTCGAAGGAGCAGGCCAGCGTGTTATCACCAGCTACTTCAGACGGAAGAACCACCCCTCAAGTTGTCCCACCAACATGGCGAAAAGCCCCAAGGTTAAAGCAGAGGAGCCCCTCGAATCTTTACTGGCAGGCGATGACTTCCTGGGCCCAGAGGACTTGGGCTCTCTCCATGAGGGCAGAAGGAGCGTGGCTGCCAGTAAACACCCGCGTTTCTCCCCGAGCGGCCACAACTGCCCGGTGGACGGCATCCCATGGGAGGAAGATCAGCTGGGGAGGCGGGCCGGTGGGCCGGCGGGCGATGGACTCGTCAAGCAGGAAGCTGAGGACCAGGAGGGGGACCCCCTTGATTCTCGTTTTGGGCTGCTGGGGACCATGCATCTGAACGTGCCACAGGGACACATCGACCAGCTGCCTGATGAAGTCCTCCGGGAGATCTTTGCCCTGCTGCCTGTCCTCAGCCTGTGCCAGGAGCTCAGCCTGGTGTGCCGCCGTTGGAGGCGGATCATCTCTGACCCTCGGGTGAGCTGCGTCTTGCGCCGCTCTGTAGCGAAAGAAACCGCTGGTTGCGTACAGAAAGGCCCGGTGCTTCCAGACCAGACCGTGTTCCCTGAGACAGCAGCAAAAGTGCATTTGCTTGCCTTTGCCAAATAATTTGCATGCGACATTTGCCAAGTAGGGAAATGACTGCCTCTCCTCTCTGGCTTATGATATTAATTGAATGCAGGAGAGAGCTGCTTCGGGCTGCTGGGTGCCCATTTCTAGCTCCCAGAATCCCCCAGGGGCTGCATGCTTATGTGCAGCACTTGCTGCGATTTTGCATGGTAAAAGCAGTATTAGCTCAGGAATTTTGGCAGTCAGTGCGACAGAAGCTGTTAAAAGTCATCCTTAGCTTGAGAGCAAGCTTAATTTGGGTACTGTTAAGTCTCTGTGGCAGTTTGCAAACTGTTGGGTGTTTTTGCAAAATGTGTCCTGCAGGAGAGACATTTCTGGGGTGCTGTTGAAGCTGAATATGGGTACCTCTAAAAGGCATCCATTTCAAAGACGATACGATGGATTGTTTGTCATTTCAGTTCATTCCTTGGAAAAAGCTGTACCATCAGTACCTGAAGGGGAAAGCCAAGGCCTTGTCTTCTGTTGAGAAAATTCTGCAGAAATACGGCCTAATCCAGGATCAGAAGCAGTGCATGCTGGGATTTATCAGGTGAGTCAGTCTTTTCACACAGTGATGCAGTGACACTCTGGCTGCACTGTTGCGTTGGCACAGTCCTCTGTGTGCCCGTATTTAGATGGTGGAAAAGCCTTCGGCTCCCAGCAGGCCCCAGCTGGGGGAACGGGAGTTGCAAGCCTGTTTTTCCTATCTAACCATGCCCCTCCCCAAAGTCTGATTTTTTCCAATAACTTGGCAGGCATGGAATCAAGAAAAATAAAAGGCAGTCCGGATGACATGTCTTTTGTCCCTTACCCATAAAGTGTCACCAACACAAACACAGACATTGTACCGAATGAGCAACCGAACTGAAGCTTGCCTTGCTGACCACCTGCCTGTGAGCAGGCCAGGTGCTATTGACGTGTGTCCTGATAGTGCGTCCAGTTCTGGGCACCAAGATTTAAAAAAGATGCAGAGAAAAATAGAAAGGGTCCAGCGGAGGGTGACAAAAACGATCCAGGGTTTGGAAACACAGCCCTGTGAGGAGAGACTGAGGGAACTGGGCCTGTTCAGCCTTGAGAAAAGAAGACTGAGGGGGGACATGAGATCCCTCTGTAGGTACCTGCAAGGCTGTCACGAAGAGGAAGGCCAAGATCTCTTCCTGCTGATGCCGGAGCGCAGGACACGGAATAATCAATTCAAGCTGCAGCAACCCAGATTTCGGATGGACATCAGGAAAAGCTTCCTCACTGCCTGAGCAATATGGCAGTGGGACCAGCTGCCTGGGGAGGTGGGGGCTCTCCCACCCTGGAGACATTCAGAAAGAAACTGGGCAGCCCTCTGAGTGGGATGGTGTCACTTGGTGTCCTGCAACGGGGGGCTGGATGGCCGTCACGGCCCCTTCCAGCTCTACTGCGATTCTGTGTGGGTGCAGCATTGTGGAAGGAGGCTCTGCCACCGTCCTTTCCCCGGAGAGAGCTGCAGGCCGAGCGCTGACTGGTACTGTGTATTTCCCTTCCCCTTGGGCTTCTGGGAAGCGGGCCTGGTGGCGATTTACGTTGGTTCAGGAATCGCCGAAGCCTCTATGTCCAGATGCAAAGGTGGGGCACAGACATACCTTAGATAAAGATGCTCTCGGATTGCTTTCAGCCTTCCTGACAGTTACGTCTGTCCAAGTCTGTGCTTCCCTGCTTCCTGCGTGCCCCGCCAGGGTGGCCCGTGGTCATGGTTGACGGGAGTTGTAGTTGAGCAACTTCGGTAGCTTCCTCATCCCGGCTGTATATTGATAGATGGCAAGATCAGGTGGGGGTAGGGATGTGGCCCCAGTGGACACCCCCGGCACCTGCTGGAAGGGCGCGGGGGGCGGTGCCGAGTGTTGTAGTCCAAGAATTCTGGGAGGCACCAGGCTGGGGAAGGGCCATCGCCTGGGTAAGGCAGGTGCTTTTCCCAGCATAGTTCAGAAGTGCAGCCCCCCGTGTACCGTGCCTGCTGCGGTGAACACCGAGGGCAGTGATGGCGAACCTTTTAGAGACCGAGTGCCCAAACCGCAACCCAAAACCCACTTATTTATCCCAAAGTGCCAACACTGCAATAAAAACTGAAAACAGGTTTTAGTTTAGAAAAAACAACTCCCAGACGATCCAAGCAAATATAGACATATCCTTGGCAGCGCACTGACCGGCCGTGCGAAAGCTCCAGCGAGTCGCAGTTAAGGAGTGGCGGAACGCGATGTCATCGCCTGGCACCGATGCTCCTTTCTGAGCATGCGCATGGCCCCAGTGTGCGCTGTCATCTGATGCTCGGCTGCTGGGGCGATGCTGGGGTGTCTTAGCTCGTGTGCCGACAGAGAGGGCTGTGTATGCCTGCTGTGGCACGCATGCTGTAGGTTCGCCACCACTGCCCTAGAAGGTTTTGGCTATTGGGTGATCTTGAAATGGCAATAACAGCAGTACGGTTCAGTTTGCCGCACTTAGAAAAAGGTGCCGCACTCCTGGCAGCCAGAGCGATTTGGCACCTCGGGCAGCCCCCTTGTGAGGAACACTCTTGGCACCTGGGACCGTTTGGGTTCAGTGCGTCATGATGGGAATATGCGCAGCTGCATGTGGGGTGGAGAAGTAGGTAGGGAACCTTCCCGTCAGCCGTCCTGCTGGAATCGGGTTTGCTCACCCCATGAGGCCGCTTGGCGGGAGGTTCGAGGCCGACCGGAGGAGGGCCGCCTTTGCACAGCGCAGGGGAGAGCGTCTGGTTGGCTGTCGCAGGCTGGAGGGGGGGTCCCCGTCGCAGGCAGCTCGGCGAGGCTCCTGCAGCAGTGAAGGCCTCTTCGTTGCTTCATGTCCTGCTTGTGGACCCGTCAGGGTAACCTGGTTGATCACCTTAGGAAAGAAGGTGCTGCTGCAGGCGCTCTTCTGGTCTGAACAGGCCCGGCTCTCCTTGGGGGTCCAGGCACCTCGAATCGGTTTTCAGCTGGGGGTTGTCAGCCCTCCTTCGCAGGGTTCAAGAAAGTGCACTTTTCCCCGTCGACTTTCCATAATCTGTGTTTTAGTAGGTTTCCTTGGTGTCCGATGCTTTCATATTCTTACGGTCTTTTATTGCATATTTATTCCACTTCTGTGTGTTTTGGGGTGTTGTTTTTGAACTTGGGTTCTGCCTTGAGGGGGTTTGCCCCAGAAGGCGGCCTGAAAACAATTCCAAAGGAACGAGTGAGTCCCCCTTTAGCACGAGTAGAGGCGCCCTCGTATGGGCGGGGCCGTGATCCTCACCGAGGAGCCTCGGTGTGGCTCGCAGCTTCTCCAGTTAACGTGTTGGTGGGGAGAGTCACGCGCATGACTTCCTGCTGCTCGATGCTGGTGTGGCTGGTCTGGCCTGGGGTGCAAGCAGCTTCCCGCTCCCTCTTTCCTCTCCCACACAGGTGCCTTGGCAGCGTTACGCGCCGCTGCATCCGGGACCCGGAAGCCACCCTCCAGTGCTTGGAAAGCCACCCGCTCTTCCCCAAGGCAGAGATCTGCATCTCCAAGAGGCTGCCCGACCTGGAGAGCCCCACGTCAAGAGTAGGTCTCGCGGCCCTCGGCAGCCTCGCCTCGTGTGCGTGCGGCCAGGTTTACACCCCCCTTTCTCGCCTTGCAAGGAAGCCAGGGCAGCTAACACGGTCCTCCTCCCCTCTACCCTTTAACCCTCCCTGCAACCCTGTGAGGTAGGCCAGGCCGAGAGTTGGTGCTTTGTCCAAAGTCCCCATTCGGCTGTGAAGTTCCCTGGTGCCTGCAGCCCACGTCTCCCGAGTCCCGGCCCTACACGCCAGCCAGCACACCGGAATATTTTCTCCTACAACAAGGGAGTGCGTTGCTCCATGGTGCATTCAGCTCTCATTTCTGTCCTGTATTAGGTAGGCCGTCCCCCCCACCCCCCGGCTGTCCTTGTGGCCCCCACCACGTCCTCCTGCTGCAAGCATGGAATTAGTGGCTGCAGCAGGAAACGGTCGCAATTCAGCAGGGCTCACAAGGCTCCGGGGCTGCATGACTAAATTGGCTTGAGGTCTCGCTGCTTCTGTTGTGGCAACTTCAGTAGTGGTGGTGCTGGTGGCTCCTGAAGGGTTCCAGCAGCTGCTGGAGGATGATGGCAGTTGTAATCCAACATCTCTGGAGAGCGCCATGTTGGGAAAGGCTGACCTACATGGCCTTAGGTAAACTGGTCTCTCTCTCGACCTCAGCTTACCCATCTGTGAACTGGGCATAATTGGTTATGGAGTGAGTGCATCATTGGTGCTTTGAACCCTCAAGAAATGCTGTGTGAAATGCTTCGGGGTTTTTATTCCTTGGCTGCTTGTTCTGTGACTCCGTGTTTCAACTCTTGCCGTACGTTTGCCTGGAGGAATATAATGTGGCGACTCTTCTTTTCTCCCCCCTTGCCCCCACCCCCAGGCTTCATATATTTGGGCTGTGGTGGCTACTATAGTGCTTTTCTCTGGAGGAGTCCCTGATATCCGAGACCTGGTGGCCTGTCTCCAGAGACCCAGCTCTACCCTCTCGCTAGCAGACATCATGGAGGCCTTGTACTGCATGGCCCTCCTGCTTTATGCCATGAGGGAGAAGAAGGTGAACATCAGCAGCAGGTGCGTCTGTGCGCAGGGATGGGGTGGTGGTGTTCAGGCAAGGGCAGAAATGTGCGATTTCCTCGCACATCTCTGCATAAAGCTGCCTGATGCTCAGGGTCAAGCTACATTCTGTTTCCTAGATCACACATAACGGCCATCAAGAATATGGGTTGTCATCGAATTGTGGATCTTGGTTACATGCGGATCCCGCCTTATGGTTTAACGATGGGTTGTTAACCCCAAACAACCTAGAAAGAGAACTGATGGGGTTTTGTTGGGTTGTGGACTCTTGGTTGTCCATGGTCCACAACCTGCAGTTAAACAATAGGGCCAGGGTTTCTACATGATGGCAACCCATGATTCAGAGATAACCCATGCTCAGCCCATACCCCGAGCTGCTGTGATCGCACACAGGTCTGTTTGAAAGCGTGCGGCATTTTCTTGGCTGGCTTCTTTTGCAGCGGGGAGGTCTAGATTAGGACACCAGGGTGAGAATAATCTTTTCCCTCCGTGCCACAGAGCAGGTGAAAAGCACCGCTTTACCCCACAGATAGGCAAGACAGAAGCTGCTGTGGGGAAGGCACCCAAAGCCATCTTTTTGCAGACTAAGAAGCACCCCTGATGGGAATGTTGTTGTTGTTGGAAACGCAGTACGAGGAGGAGCGGTTGAAACAACACCTGTCAGGTGTAGCTGGGTCTGCCCACACCTGCCATCCCAAGAGGGTTGCAGTCGCCCTCATTCCGGGGGGTGAAGGGTCAGGCCGTGTCTGGGCACAGGCTCAGCCGCAGCGTCTTCGGGTCATTGATAAGATCTCCCAGCTTTTTTGTTTAGCACAGCCTTCCCTAACCTGGAGCCCTCCAGATGCTTTGGACTTCCACTCCTATCAGTCCCAGCCAGCCTGGCCAATGTCAGGAGTGCTGGGAGCTGTAGTCTGAAATCTCGGGGGAGGGGCGGGACAAAGTTGGGAAGGCGTGGCTTAGGGCATTTATGGCTGACCCCGTGTCCCCTGGAAAGGTCTGGTGAAGAGGTACGAAGAGGGATCCCCTGGAATCGACTTGCTCCCTTCTCTGTTCTTGCAGGATCCACTACAGTATTTTCTACTACCTGTATCTGTTGGAGAATTCAACCTGTGACGTGGCAGTCGTGACCCCAGAAGTACCCCACTGCGGCTATAAAAGGGGCTCCAGGTACAGGCGCCGTGTATCTTTATTGACCGATTTATTTCCACCTTCCATTATGCCAATGCTTTTGCAAGGAACCCAAGGCAGCTTGCAAGGTCCTCCTCCTCCTCCTCCCCCCCTCCCCCTCCACTGTATTCTCACAAGTGGCTTGGCCCCTTGCTGCAGGGCTGCGGTTGTGCAGCATGGAGCCTAAAGGTGCCACAACAGCACTCTTGAGAGGAGCAAGGAGGCCTCGTGGCTAGAAAAATCTCGCGTAGGGCATATCGCCAATGGCAGGAGACACTGTGGGAGCTCGGCCGGAAGAGCAGCTCATTAAGAAGGGGACTTCAGTGTGGAAAGCCCTGGACTAAAGCCACAGGGCGTTGCGGGCGAGCAGAAGGAGGTTCTGAGCCAGCTTCCCCCAGCCTGGTGTGTTGGGAATAATTTCCAGTACCCCGATAAAACGTGCATCTGACTCTGCTTTGGATTTCCTCCTGCAAAGAGTGCAAGGCCACATACGTGGCCCTCCTCTCTGTTTTATTTTCACAGCAGCAGTCCTGAGAGGTGGGTTAGGCTCAGAGTCTGTGCTGGCTCAGTAGAACCCAGAGCTTCAGATGTTAATCTTCATGCTGCAGGCGCTTGTGTTAACCCCATGTCTGTCCCGGTCTGGCTTCCTGCCCTCACGGTTTGTGCTTGGCTCTGTTTGGCAGCTCCCCCGGCATGCAGCTGACCTGTGAGCAGCGCAAGATCCTGAATCATGAAATCGCGCCTGGGCAGGTGGTGAAAATCCTGGCTTTTGCTGGTAAGGTGGCTGGTCATCCCTGCACAGACCTTTCGAGTTCTCCATAGCTCTGCACTGTCCCAGCTGCTCAGATCTTTCCGCTGCTTTAGGCTTCCTTGTGGTCTTGATATCTTTCGCTTGTCCTGAGCTGCGGAAGGGTCTCCGGCAGTCTCAGAAAGCCTTTCCCATTCTGCCTTGTTTCCAGGACACAGTGCAGAAGTCACAAGATGCTTCCTCTTTGCCTCAGGGCAGCCTTCCCCATGCCTGGTGCCCTCTCGGTGTGTGGCACTGCAGCTCCCATCATTCCCAGCCAGCATGGCCAGAGGCATCTGAATGCCAGTTGCTGAGGAGCCTGGGTGGGAGGGCGAGATCACATGTCCACTTGTGGCTTTCCGACGGGCAGCCGGGTGGCCCCTGTGTGAACAGGACGCTGGGCTGAGTGGACTCATCCGGGGAGGCTCTTGGCAGAGGCCGCCGCCTGCCGGAGACATCAAAGCTGGAGATGGTGAGAGCTGCAGAGGGCGCCAGTTCAGGGAGGTGCAGCTCTGGAGTGACTGAAGCGTGTGATTCATGCCACAGGCACCGGGAAGACGTCCACCCTGGTCAGGTATGCAGAGACTTGGTCCAGCCTCCGATTCCTGTATCTGGCCTTCAACAGGACCATCGCCCAGCAGGCCACGGGGACCTTCCCTCCCAACGTGACGTGTAAGACCATCCACTCTTTGGCCTTTGCGAAAGTTGGCAAGCGGTAAGTGGGGGGGCCTGGTTTTAGGGCACAGGCCCCGTTTTGCGGTGGGTTCTCTCTCCACCCGCCTCCCATTCTCACGTGCAGCCAGAGGAACAGAGGCGGTCGCATTCCACCCGCCCTCTTCGGCCTGAGGCCTTCCAGATTTGTCGGAGCGTGACTCCCAGAATCCTCCAGCCAGCAGTTCTGTGCACCGGGAGAGCAGTGGCTTGTGGGTAGGCCGCTTCGCTCCTTGTCCATCTAATCCCATATTGGCCGCTCCAGCCTGGGGTCCTCCCAGAGGTGTCAGGCGACCCTCTCTGGAATGTGTGGCCCTGGGAGCTGCTGGCTGGAGCGATGAGGAGGTGACCTCCACCACATCTTGGGAAGACTCGTCTTGGCTGACTGGGCAGCTTCTCCCCGTCGTCTCTGGCCAAGGGAGGAGTCGTTGCCGTCCATTTTGAAGGGATGCTTTCAGCTGGACGTGCCAAGAAAGGGGCCCGGGAAGGCCTGCGTGCAGGGCAGAGCTGTGGTCCCTCCCTGTGCCCGGGAGCCTCTGCCTTCCCTGGCCTCTAGCCATGTCTCCAGCGTCTGCAGCTTGCAAGCTGTGGGCAAATGAAACACGGGCAGTGTGCAGATGCCATGTGCTTGTTGACCCACGAGGGGTGCCGGGTGGCTGGCTTTGCCCCTTTGCCGTTGGAGCTGCCGGACGCCTTTTTGTGGTGGTGTTGATGCCTAAAACATCCTGATGGGGGGGGGGTCCCTATAATTATGCCCTCCCCTCTGCATTCCACACATTTCCTTTGCTGCAGAGGTGCCTCATTTCCAGCACCAAAGTTCTGTGCAGTGACCAATCTGGTCACCACAAATACTCCTTTGCAGCTTTTATTTTATATTAACCACTATATCACACTGGAGAGGCAGTGTGGTGTAGTGGTGAAGAGCATGGGGCTGGGACTCAGACGATCCGGGTTCGAGTCCCTGGTCAGCCATGGAGCCAGCTGGGTGACTTTGGGCCAGTCACAGACTCTCAGCCCACCCTACCTCACAGGGTTGTTGTTGTGGGGATAAGACGGAGGAGGAGAATGATGTCAGCTGCCTTGAGCCCTTTGTCGGAAAAAGGCAGGATATAAATCGAAAAATAAAGACTATATAGCAAGGGGACAGCATACAAAAACTCTGAATGAATGAATGAATGAATGAATGAATGAATGAATGAATGAATCTGAGGTGCACAGGGACGGAATACAAAAACTTTAAATAAATAACTGTGAGGTGCACAGGTGCTGTCCAGGTGTATAGGTGCTCTGTGGTGCCAGCCCCCTTTGGAAATGGAATTCATCACCATTGGATAGCTACTGCAAAGCTCAGAATAGAAGCTGCAATGGATAGAGAGCCCCAGTCTGGCAGCTTTCCTTCCGGCAGTGCAGATTCCAGTAAGGGGTCCGCGGCACCCAGCGGCAGAATGCCCGCCGGCATCCGTTTCAGTGGCCTGCGTGCCTCAGCCCGTTTCTGCAGGTGCCGGGCGAAAATCCTTTCCGGTCGGTCCGCTTTGAATTACTGCCTGCTGGTTTGTGCATCGTGGAAGCAAATCCTTAGAAACGAGTCTCTGAAAAGATAGAAACAAACTCGAGATCTTGTTCCACATGCCGGCCCTTTACAAAATACTTACTTGTAAAGTGTAGGAAGATTACCTTGACAGCAAAACCGGCGTTTGCTGACTCCACCTGGCCCAGATGTTTCTCTAGCTCTTCCCTTGAGTCCTGTGCACTGCGAAGGTAATGGCACCTCCTTGCTTGGAAGAGGTGTTGTGATTTGGCGCTTGGCGTGTGGTTCCCTGTTTTCTGGGAAACTGGGAAACAAATTCCCTGAATTCTGTCTGGCTGATCGGACCCCTTTCAGCGCTTGCTCCTGACCCCCACCCTTTTCGATCTTCAGCTACTCAAAAAAGCTCAACCCCGGCTCCCTGAGTACCTACTGCGTCAGCCTCGTCCTCCACACCCGGGAGGGGATGTCTGTGTTCATAAGAGCCAAGACCGTCGTTCAGACCCTCGCCACGTTCTTTGCCTCCGCGGATGACGCCATCACGTCGGAGCACGTGCCCATCTGGTGCAAAGACAACAGGGGAGAGCGCGTCCTCATTCAGCCGGAGGAGCGGCGGGTGAGTCTCCCTTGGCCCGGGCAAGAGACTCGCTCATGGTGCAGGGCTGGCCCAGAGGCTGCCGAGGACAGCCGGAGGGCGGCGGGGGGAGCTTGTGGGGTGTCGGGAGAAGGACTGTGGGGCTGGGATGCGGCCCTGCTTGCCTGTTCCTCTGTAGTGTTGTCCCTCGCCCAGAGAATGAACGGCAATTTCATTTCTAGTCTGCCTTTCCAAGAAGGAATGGCATTCAAGGACCGTAATTATAACATCCCTAAAGATGACGTAATTAAAAGCGCAATTAAAAATGCTACCTTGAGAAAAAGGAAGGGCGGCAAGCCCCGTCAGGTCTTCTTCGGTAACGGACTTGCCTGCCTGAATAAACATGCCCCTGCCTGCTGGTGGAAGGCGAGTGAGAAGGGACATCCTGGCCCCCCCTTTTCCGGGAGCTCCACGGCCAGGGGGCCACCACCGAGAAGGGCCTCCCTCCTGCCCCCCCACGCGTGCCTCCAGAAGCAGCGGTGCAGGAAGATCCTCTCCCCATGAGAGTGGGCGTCGTGAAAGGGGGGGCCGTCCCCACCTACTTCTGCTTTGACTCTGACCACTCAGCACGTCACCCCACCCCCAGCGCTCTTCCGCCCAGGCCCCTCTTCGCTCGTGTCGAGAGCCTCTGAGGCGGATCGAACCCAGGAGGCGCCCCTCTCTGTTCACCCAGTGTCCGGCAAGCCACCCCCGGCAACCTCTGAGCAGGGCAGGGGGGCAACAACCCCCTCCTGCCCATGCTCCCCAGCAGCTGCCCAGCTAGAGTGACGTATCGGAGGCGTTTGGGCAGCCCCTCCCCAACTCGCAGTCCTCTGAAGGTGTGGGACTGCCGGTGTCTTCCAGTTGCAGTGAAGCCCCCGAGCGGAGATAGCCGAAAGGTGTGCAGGGCCCCCCCGGCCATGCCAGGTTCGTGGGGGCGGAGGATGGCAGAGGATGCCTCTGCCAGAGGCTGGGAACCCGCAGGAAGGTCCTTCGTGCCGGGTCAGCAAGCCCTTCCAAGCCAGCCCCACCACGGGACCGCTGGGCAGTGAGACGTGCCGGCAACTTGGCCGTTGTGCACGACTCAGAGGGGTCGGCTGGGTCTTGGGTCTCTCTTCCTCCATCACGATGGTTAAGGTGGTGGTGGGGAGCCTCTGGTCCCCGGGGGCCCTGCCATCCTGCCCCGGTTTCCTGCCTTCTGTGCCGTTTTCCCCCTTTCAGAAAGAAAGCCAGAAAGCCTCTCCTCAAAAGAATGGCTTGGTGCTGAGCCCAGGAGTATCTGAGCCTCTCCTAGCGGCAGCCTCCACCCGCACAAGCCCACCCCAGCACGGGGGTCCCCGCAGGCTGTTCTGCAGTGGAAGTGGAATCACCCCTGGGCAGAGGCCACCTGCTGCGTTCACCCCGATGCAGCTATTCCGTGAATCACTGTGAGGACGGGCCATGGGGGCGTGTGGTCCGGAATGTGCGGCGCACGCCTCGTCGGGCACCTCTGATCCAGGCAGCGCCTCTCCCCAGGGCGGCCTTCCCGTCCCGGTGCAGGCTTGGTGGGGACCCCCGACCGGCCACTCTCGAGAGCAGCGCGCTGGGTCGGAGGCCTCTTTCCCCGATTGGCGAAGCCACCATTTGTAGGGTCTTGTGCTTCCTAGATCGTTATAGAAGAAGCAGAGCGGATATGGTCCAATATGAAACTGCTGAACCCCACCCGAGAGATGGCGCATAAGATGACGCACGACGGTGAGTGGAGCCATGCGGGGACGAGGTCACGGGTGACGCGGCTGGCCCCGCACGGGCGTCGCTGCGCTCCGGTGTGCTTGCAGCAAAGCTCTGCGAGGAAACAGCCTGGTGGACTCAGATGGAGGAACCCCGTTTAGGACTTGGCGCGTCAGGCGGGCACGGGCTGCTCACACCCGCACTGCGGCGACTGCCTGCCTCTGAAGTGCTGGGGAACGGGCGGGAGGGTGCGTTTGCGTGCAGGCACGGCTCATGGCCTCTCAGCAGCATCTTCCTGGCCTCACTAGGAATGCAGGGCCAGGCAACCCCTTGGACCGGTCCAGTATTTACCTTATATTTTATTTATTTATTAAAACATTTTTATGCCGCCCCATTCGCCGAAGCCTCGGGGCGGCTTACAACAATAAATTAAAATAACATTTTAAAATATATACATTAAAATACAAATATATGATATAAAACATTTATACATTTTAACATTTGCTTGGCACTTGCAAGAGGCCCCGGTTGGCCTACGAGGCCCCACTCCCGGCCACGTTATCCTCCCAGCATCCCTGTGGGGTAGGCTTCGTTTTGAGCCAGAGAGTGGCTCAGAATCACCCGGGAAACTGAATCGCAGACTGGAACCCAGGTCTCCTGTGTCCCGGCCTGACACTATCCACTACTCCACACTGCCTTTCTGTTTGCTTCGAACATTATAACATTTGCCTATATGCTTGAACTGCAGATCAGCATCAAGGACTGAAGCACCAGTCCTTTTGCAGGAGCAGTGAAGTTTGTGACTGTTCTTAATACTCCGCTTTTCATGCTTTTGGCCCATGAAGGATTAGACCTGCTTTAATCCCAACGCTTCCCTTCATTATATTACATTTCTTGCCTGCTTCTTGCAAAAACCGCATTGACGATTGCTTCTTTCCTGCATTGTTTCTGAATCAGAAAAAAACGAATAGGAATGGAGTTGTGTGCAGGGTCTGACTCAGTGTAACGCAATGGCAGGGTGGGGTTGGTGGCCTCCTGGACAGAAAGCGGCATGTGAGAAAGGTTAGACACCCAGCCCCTCTGTCCTGCACTGCTCTGAGAAGGCCCCTCTCCTGGCTGTAATTTTCAGGGACAAGGTAATACGAGAAGCCACACAGCTGAATATAGTTTTGGTCATGTGGTTCTTAGCAGAATGAACCGTACTCTCCTTCCCATGTTCCACGTACCTTGTTTTTGCAGGGATTTATCTATTATGCTTGTATCGCTCCTTTCTCCTGCAAGGTGGGCATGCATGAGCCTCCATCTCCTCCTCTATTTTACCTGCACAACAACCCAGAGAGGTAGATCAGGCTGACAGTCAGTGACTTTCCTGAAATCTAGTCTTTAAAAAGGGATGGGACAGGTCCGTGGAAGTAGAGGTTATCTGTAGCTTCTAGCATTACTGGCTTTGGGCGGCCCCTTCTCCAGAGGCAGCGTGCCTCCAAATTGTGGAATGCGCTCCCCAGAGAGGTCCGCCTGGCGCCGACTTTATACTCTTTTCGGCACCAGGTAAAAACCTTTTTATTCACCCATCATTTTAAGGGATTTTAAATGGTTCTTAACAGCAACAGTCGCATTTTGTTTTTGCTTTTGTTTTTGTAATGAACGTTATTTATTTATTTTGTTATTTATTTTAATTATTGTAATTATTGTAATTTTTATTATTGTAATTTTTATTGTCTTAATCACTGCAAGCCGTCCTGGGATGTTCTTTTGTATAGGACAGGGTGAAAATATTTCAAATAAATAAATGCCTGCATACACCAGTTGCTAAGGAGCTTGGGCAGGTGGAGCTTTTGCCTTCGTCCTGCTGTAGGGATCCCGTGGGCAGCCAGTTGCTGCTGTCTTCATGCTGGTCTGCATGGACCTTGGGCCTAATCCAGTAGGGCTTTGCTGTGTTTCTATGATTGGCCCAAAGTCACTGGGCGAAGCTCCCTGGCTGAGCCAAGAGTAGAACCTGGCTCTTCCCGGTCCAGTCCAGCACTCATCACGTCCCCACACGGGTTCCCTGAGGTATCCAAGAGCACCTTAGCCAATCTTAGCATCAGTTTTCAGATTTTTATTCTCCTACTTCGCCCCACATGCTTCCCAGATCTAGGGACCAGGGAGTAAAATTAAATTGTTTTCAATGCCTTCAGAAATCTAGAAACTATGTGTCTAGGTCACCAGAATATCGTTAGCAGATAAATTCTGTGGTCTCATCTGCAAACTTTGAACTAGCATCTTGATGAGTCCACAAAAGACGTTAGACCACAAGAATTCTGCTAGCAGGCGTTCCCACCCTGCGTCTGGCTCAGTCCTTATGACCCAATAAGGACCTGGAATGGGGTTAAAGATTCCTTCAGCATGAAGAAACCCTCAGCCTGAAAAACAGAGTTGCTATTCGATCAGGCACTGAGCTTTTACCATTCTTAAAACCATTATTCTCAATACTGTGTCCCCCTTCCTAGGCTACCTGAAGCTCTGGCAGCTTGAAAGGCCTGTCCTTTCCGAATATGATGCCATCTTTGTTGACGAGGCCCAGGACTGCACTCCCGGTGAGTCCCGCGGGGGTTGTGCTGAGCAGGATTGGGCCAAGCTTTGCAGGGGATTTTTGCTTCCCGCCGTGTGAAGGGCGCCCTCTTGGGGCAATTGCTGTTGTGGGAGAGCGCATTACAAAGTCGAGAGCTTTCCTCTTGACCAGAAGAGGTAGAGGCATTGCCAAGTGTTTTGGTTTCCCCCCTGTGGGAGAGCTCTCCCCTTCTTACAGCCTCCAAAATAAACCATGAGCCCCACAGAAAGTCAGTGCATGTTGTTCAGTGTGCATCTGAGGCCCAGGCAGGACGTCTTGACTTGGGATTCTTCACAGCAGTGCGCATCTCTTTTGCACCTCCGAGTGATCTGTGCCTGCTGGGCATTGTCGGACATTTTCCCGTCCAAACATGGGGAGGGCGCAACGCAGAACATCCTCTCCTCCTCTCTAGCCATCATGCAGATCATCCGTTCCCAGCCGTGTGGTGTGATACTGGTCGGCGACCCCCACCAGCGGATCTACAGCTTCCGGGGTGCTGTCAGTGCTCTGTCCGAAGTTCCTCATTCCCACATCTTCCGCCTCACACAGGTAAGGCCCAACAGCCCTTCTCTTCAGCCCACAGGGGATCTTTCGCTTTGCCGTTGCAGCTCGCTTCGCCAGGCCTTTTATATACCACGGCAAATGTTATTATGGGTTTTAAGCTGGCGTGCTGCCTGGGAAGGGCCCCTGCCCTGATAGGTAGCTGAGAAGTATTTACAATAAAGAAAAATAAAAATTGCGGGCTGGGGATGTTGAGTTATTATCCAAGGCAAGTCAGGACCAGCAGGAGTGCCGGGGATGAAGCCCAGCCAAAGTTTCCGGACGGATTTGTTGCTCAAGCAGGGCTCAGCTGGAACAGGAAGTTCGTCCACTTCTTGTCCAGAAGGCTCTTCGTTAAGTAGGCAGCTCCGTGGTCCAGCGCACAGGCCGGCCTCACACGGATGCAGCAGCGCCGGTCGCACGGAGCCCATTCCGCAAGGAAAAAGCACTGCAGCCGCCGGGATCGCCCAGCCCGTCGCTTCCCGAGTGTCCTTTTCCCATTCCACCCACCCTTTGCCTCCCCTGCTGTTTCTTTTACAGAGCTTCCGGTTTGGCCCTGAAATAGCTTACGTCGCTGCTGCCGTTCTGGACATCTGCAAGGAGGTTCGGAAGAAGATCCTGGTGGGAAGCGACCGGGAGAGTAAGCAGTTTTTAGATTGGTCGAGTACTCCAGGGTGACTCGCCTTTGCCTCGGCCTGGCTAACCCGCCCGACTGCGTTTGGCAGGTGACATCAGCGGCACCCACGCGCCGAAGAAGGTCGCCCGCTTGTGCCGAAGCAACCGCACTGTCTTCGATGACGCGGTGAATGTTACGAGCCAGGACCCGCCCCCCAGAATACACCTGCTTGGGGTAAGTGCTCCACGCTGCCGCCCGTGCGCCCTGTGGCCGATTTTCTAGCCTTGGCGAGGCAGCCGGCAGACTGCATTCCATGCTGGCTGCGAGGGGGTGCGGTCGGGGGCAGGGTGACCCTACGCCTTCCTCTTACGCGGTTGGAGAACTGTCTCTGGTCTCGGAAGAATCTAGGCTGTCCTGTGGACTTGAGCATGCTTGCCAGGAGACCAGGAGGTCCCTCCTCCCACAGGGGGTGAAGGCGCGTCATGTGCTGGAGAACTTATCCCTGTAGAAAACACTGGTTCTGTTTAGCACAGGAGACTCGGGTGGCAAGGAAGGAGCATGGGAGAACTCGTAGGGGGTCCGCAGCATTTTCGGGTTGGTGGGCACACGGGAAATTTTGAGTGTCACCAGCACTCTCGCAAGATGGCCACCCTCGAGGGGGCTTGCCCATTTATAAGACGCCCCTGTGCTGGGGACGGGCGACACAAGGCAGCCCTTTCCCAGCAGGCCCGCTGGCAGAAAGAAGGAGAGGTGGCCCAAGAACCGCTGTGGAAAGCGGAGGTGGCAGCTCGCCTGCAAAACACAACCCGCTTCTGGGCGCAACCCGAATGATTCCGGAGGGGCGGCAGCATGCCGGCCTCCAAGCTGCGGGTTTACAACGCCTGAAGGGGCCAGGGAAAGCTCTGCTGGCCACGCGTGCCTGTGGGTCCCTTGCTGGGAACGCCAGGTGGCACCTGGCCCACGGGTGACGCCGGCCCGACAAAGCGGATGCTGCTTCAGCACCCCGGCAGCTGACCGCACAGCGCAGGGGAGAGTCTGCTGCCCGGGACCCCGCGACTTCACGCAGCTGGACCCCCATGGACCCGTTCCCTTGAACAGGTCTCTGTCAAGAGCCTCGTTGATTAACTTCCGTGGCCGGCGACCGGCAGAAATGTGTGCCGCTTCGTTTACGTATTGGGGGGTCCTGGGCCGCTGACAGGGTCGGCCAGCGAGGGACACAGCACGTGTCCGCGGCCACTTGAGCGGTCTTGCCCTGCTCTTACTCTTCCAGGGGCTTAAAGCCTTCGGTCTTGAGAAGATTCTGGATCTCTGGCGGCTGCTTCACCCGGAATGTGAGTATCCTGGCTGGGCTGGGCTGGGCTGGGCTGGGCGAGGCGTGTTCGCGGCTCGGGGGGCCCCTTCTGCCTGACCCAGCAGGGCCACGGCTCACTGGGGCTTCCGCAGAGGGCCTGAAGAACGTGGATGCTTTCGAGCACTTGCTGCTGCGAACGGCGAGCACAGCGGGTTAGTGCCAGTGGCGCTGGAGCAAAATGGGGCGAGGGAGGAAGAGGGAGGTACCAGCGTGCTGGGGAGAGGGGTGGTTTTGAGCCCTCTTAAAAGCAGCCACCCATGCTGCATTCTGCCGATGGTTGCTACCTCTCGGGGCTACCACTGCGAGGGCCCCGTCTTTCTGCTCACCGGCCTTACTGCTCTGCGTGGAGGCCAGTAGGTGGCGTTTAGCAAAGCAGGTGACTTAGAAGCAGGTGACGAACGACCCAAGAGAGGACCAAGAGAAGGTTCTGGGGGAAGTTGGCAGAATGAAGGGCAGCCTAGCTCAGCTGAAGAACTTGGGCAGCGAGGGCCACCTCCTCTACCCGCCGGCCCGTGGCCTCCCAGGCCTTCCCGTTGCAAAGTTGGCTGAGAGGACAGGGGAGGAGGGTGCAGGGCAGCCTCGCTCCCTTCCCGGACGCTCAGCGCTGCCCTCGCTTGCTGTGTGTCCTCAGCGAAATTGGAGGTGCGGGACCCCTTTCTCAGGCACTGGGTCAGGAAAGGCTTCTCACGCCTCAGGGACTACGCGGCAAAGGTGGAGGATAAGCAGCTGGAGATGAAGATTGCCATCGTGGAGAAGTACCGAGACCGCACTCCTGGGCTGGTGGAAAGGATATCGCAGTGCCACATCAACCGTCTCGAGGAGGCAGGTAAAGGCAGCCCCCTCGCCTGGTCCCCCTCTGGTTTGCATGTTCCCTTCCAGTTCCTTGGCAGAGTTCAGAGTTTCTTCTGGAAGGCTGAAATGTCTCTCCTGAAGCTCAGTCACAGGCAGGAGATGCTCCGAGTGCAGCGGTGCTGGGTTCTTGGTATTTTTGGCCCCGTGCTGTTCTGTCTTGGACTCCCCGTATTTGCTTTGGCCCTGGCAGTCTCTCTTCCGCTTCTCTCGGCACTCCCGGCTATTGCTCCTTTTGCAGGGGCTGATGGGTGCTGGGGTCCAAAACTTTTGGAGGGTGTCAGACTGGAGAAGTCTGTCTTATTTTGTCCACTGCATATTCTGGGAGCCAGTGTGGTGTAGTGGTCAAGATTGTGAGTCTGGCACCAGGGAGACCTGGGTTCAAGTCCCCGCTCAGCCATGAAGCACACTTGGGCCATTCACAGGCTCTCGGCCTAACATACCTCACAGGGTTGTTGTTTTTAGGTGCCTCTTATCTGCAGAAAAATGTCCCCTTGGATTGCTTCATGCCTCTCTCTCCTTTTCTGGCTTGTCTGGAGTGCTTGGGTGGGCCTGTGAGGTGGGGGGCTGTGAGCATGAGCGGTGTGCCAGAAATGCACACATTTCCCGGTTGACCATAGGCAGGTCACTGCAGCGTTGTCTACTCAGGCAGCAGAGTGAGGTGGTAGAGTCCTAACCTGGGAAGGTGGACTGTGCCACTGGAAGCCGCAGACCGGGAACGCGATGTTTGAAAGCTGCTCCAGCTGCAACCAGACAGTTGCCTCCGACGCGGGGGCAACATGCTCGGCAAGGGCTTTTCCAGCTGTGCTGGTTTTCTGGGGAGTTCTTTTTGTAGGGGTGTGATGGGCCACATCACAGGCCTTCCCTGGGCATCAGAAGCGGTGCAACCCATTCCGTCCCCTCCGGAGTCCAGGGTCTCATCCTGCCGCATGTGACAACCAGACCTTTCTCTTCGTTCAGTGCTGAGCAGGATGGTAGTTCGCTGACCCAGCACGCCACCTGAGAGGGCATCTTCTCGCCCTTGCCATCCTGGCCAGTCACAGGGGAGCTGCTGCTGCCAGTCCTGCATGGAGACCCATCTGAAGCCCTGTGAGAGGGGCACCCACGCACAGCAGGGCCAGGCTCCCTGTCTGTGGAGCTCAGCCTCTTTGGAGGTCAGGGAACACAGGGAGTCCCAGTCACAGGGCAGCCGCATGGTGTTGATCTCGGCACCAGCTGGAGAGTTTTTATTTTATTTATTAAAACATTTTTATGCCGCCCCATTCGCCGAAGCCTCGGGGCGGCTTACAACATAGAGTTCCTTCTGCGAGCCTTTCTTAAGTCGTAGAATCGCAGTAACACAGAGCTGGAAGGGGCCATGAAGGCCATCAGGTCTACCCCCTGCTGTTGCAGGACACCAAGTCATACCATCCCACTCAGAGGGCTGCCCAGTTTCTTTCTGAATGCCTCCAGTGTGGGAGAGCCCCCACCTCTCCAGGCGGCTGGTCCCACTGCAGTATTGCTCTGACAGTGAGGAAGCTTTTCCTGACGTCCAGCCTAAATCTAGGTTGTTGCAACCTGATTATTTCGTGTCTTGCATTCTGGGATCAGTAAGGAGAGATCTTGGCCTTCCTCTTTGTGACAGCCTTTGAGGTACCTATAGAGGGATCTCATGTCCCCTCTCAGTCTTCTCTTCTCAAGGCTGAACATGCCCAGTTCTCTCAGTCTCTCCTCACAGGGCAGTGTTTCCAAACTCTGGATCATTTTTGTTGCCCTCCACTGGACCCTTTCTAATTTACCTGCACCTTTTTAAATCTTGGTGTCAAGAACTGGAGACGGTATTCCAGATGAGGTCTGACTGCCACGGTTTCTGCAGTTACTATTTTTTAAAAAAGAGCAGCATTCAGGAATGTATTATTTCTTCTCATTGCGCACCCACCCAGAATCTTTTTAGATGTGGAATGTTACATAAATGTCCTGAAGAAATGCACGCAATATATATGTGGGGTTCTGTCAGGGAAGCTCTTGGGAAAGCCCAGTGGTAAGTGCACCGGTTTGCTCCGTCTGCTCGCAGATTACATCGTGGGCACCGTGCACAAGGCCAAAGGACTGGAATTCGATGCCGTCCAGATAGCGCCCGACTTTTTTCAAGGCTTTCCTGCAGACCCCAGTGAGGAAGGGCGCCCTGCAGATCGTTCAGGTAAGGATGGCTCCGCCCCATGTCTCACCTGCCACCGCCATTTGCATCGACTTCCTGCAAGCCTGGGCAGCATGTGGCACATGGGCTCCTTGTGGCCGCCTGGCCTCGCGTGCCCCCCAGCTGCTGTCCCGCCTCCGAATCATAGCTATGCTGCAGCGAGACGTTTTTCCTTCAAGCAAGGCGTGTGGGATCACATGCCTTCTCTCAACGCAAGTCCAGGCTTTCCATCCAGGAGCTGCACAATTCCTTTTGGAGGTTGCGTGGGGTGGATTCTGGGAGCTGCAGATGCCTTGATGCTCGGGACGTGCCTTGCGTGTCGCCCCTCCTCCCCGCCCCCAGGTGGCCCCGCTTGCCGCTGTGGAAAGCACACTCCTAGGGTGGCCCCTTTTGGGAGAAAGGCACGGGGGGGGGGGCATTCTCGGAACAGAATGCAGCACCAGCCTCTGTCCTTCCGGAAGGGAGAGGTGCAAAACGTACCAGAACAAGTGCGGGGCTCTGGGCACGATGCCACGTGGTTTTGCTCGTGGTAACGGGGAGGCACGAGCAAGATGCCGCTCCCCCCTCTGAGGTGCCTGCTGGTCCTGTCGGGAGGCTTTGAGCCTCGATGTGGCCAACCTCAGAGGCTTCGGATAAGAGTCAGCTCTCCTTCGCGGGCTCCGTGCATCGCGCATATGGGCTCTGCGCGCAGGCGTACCGCTCGCTTGGGAAGTTTCCAAAGCTGACTGATTAGTGCTCGGCGGGAGCCCAGCCCAGGGCACACCAGCGTGTGTGTGTGTTGGGGGGGGGGGCTCCACTGAGGCCCCAGACTCTGCTTCAGCTGCACCAGCCACGCCCCTTGTCTTGGGCTCGAGAGTCACAGAGGGGAAGCCGCCATGGCTGGGGGTGCCTCCAGCCCCCGCACAGTGCAGGAGTCCTGCTCAGAGCATCCCTGATGGACGGCTCTCTGGCCGGATGCCTGCAGTGCAGAGAGGTGGGCCACCGGAAATCATCCCGCCCCGGATCCAGGCCCAGCGATTGCCCTCTTCCCTTCATTGTGTCTGTGCAGCTTCAGTCCCCGATGACGAATGGAACTTGCTGTACGTGGCCATCACCCGGGCCAAGAGATGCCTCATCATGCCACAATTCCTGTGCTATTTCCTCACATTGGCTGGGGTGAGTGAGGTATCTGCTGGGGGGGGTGGCGGGGGGAACTTTCATGGTGGCAGTGGAGAAGCAGAGAGCTGTTTGCTGCCAGAATTCAGCAGCAGTCAGCACAGAACCTCAGAAAAGACAAGCATACCTTGATTTCAAGCTCGTTGTCAAATGGAGCTGAACCTTTTGAGAAGGTAGAACAGCATTCTGGTTAGAAACACTGGATTCTGTCGAAGAGAAGACAGAACAAAATAGGCCTCGAAGTTCGTGAAGCACGGATAGCTCAGGATTCCACACATCCTGAACCGCCATCTCCGTGAATTGGATTCAGAAGCAAAATGGAAAGCCGACAGCTTATCGCACCGGTGGAAAGGCACGCTCTGAAGGCAAACACCAGGAATTCCTCCAGCTACTTACTTGTCGGGGGCAGCTTCATGTGAAGCGTGCTACAGATTAGTGTAAACTGGACGAGAATGAGGCATGGGTATCTGCCTCATCAGGGAAGGGAGCAGTTGGCACAGAACCAGGTCTTATCAAAAGCACATGTATTATATCTGGTTTTTCCCTCCTGCCTGTCTTTTTCTTAATGTGTTTGGTCCTGGAGGCAGGGCTGAATGCCCGTGTGTACATTTCTAGATTGATTGATTTATTTAAAACATTTCTACCCCATCCTTCCTGATCAAACTTCTCAGGATGGCTTACAATAATTAAAAGCAGTAATAATGATAAAATTGCCACCCATAATAATAAATAAATAATGGTACTACAATAATTAAAACACTAAATAACAGAACAATAATTAACGTTCAAATCCAGCAAAACTAAAAAAGAAAATGCGACCGGATCTTTAAAAACATCCAAAATCCTTAATTCTTAAAATGATGGTTAAATAAAAAGGTTTTTGAAGCACAAGAGACCTTATTTCCATTCTGACTCCATGAAAAAGACCAGGGCTCCCCAGCCATTTGGCATCAGAGGGAACATGTGAAATTTGAGGAAATCTTGTGGCTGCTCTCACGAAAGTGTGAGAGCCGGTGTGGTGTGGTGGTTCAGAGCACGGGACTGGGACTCAGACGATCTGGGTTCTAGTCTCCGCTCGGCCATGGAGCCAACTGGGTGACCTTGGGCCAGTCACAGACCCACAGGCCAACCTACCTCACAGGGTTGTTGTTGTGAGGATAAGGTTAAGAGCAGGAGGCGAATTATGTAAGCCACCTTGAGTTCCTTGAAGGTGTGTGTGAGGGGTTTAAATAAATAAATAAAATGGCTGCCCAGATGAGTTCAGGCAAGCACAAGACACTCGCTTCCCAGACAGCAAAGCCACGAGACTAAAAGGAAAGTGACTTTCTCTAGAACCCAAGTGTAAGGCACAGGCTGAACACAATAATACGCTTTTGGACCCACATAAAATTGGGTTGGAGGGGCAGCAGTTCACTTGGGTGCATAGCAACCTCACAGTTAAAATTAGCATCCTTTTAATAAATAAACCCTTAAGGAATAAGATTAAAAGGTTACCTGAAGGAGTGCTTATGTCCATATATGCCCGCCCGCCCCCTGAGATCAGCGGGAGAAGCCCTTCTCCGGGAACCCTCCGTGAAGGAAATTAGGAGGGTGGGTACTCGGAGGAGGGCTTTCTCTGCGGTGGCGCCCAGTCTATGGAATGCGCTCCCCAGAGAGGTCTGCCTGGTGCTGTTACTTGTTTTTCGGGGCCAGGCGAAGACCTTTTTATTCAAACGTCATTTTAACTGTTAATAGTATTTATTTATTTTATTCTTTGGCCAGGGCGACTTATTTTATATTGTTAACTTATTTTATATTGTTAATTGATTTATGTTGTGAGCCCCCGAGGCTTCGGCAAATGGGGCGGCATAGAAATTTTCTAAATAAAATAAATAAAATCAGGAGGGGGGGAGGAAGTCCGGTGGGCACCAAGAGAGGGCTCTGAACACAGTCCTGAGATTAGGCTCTGGGTGGGTGGGTGGGTGGCGCAGCGCTTGTGGCCCTGTCTCCCAGCGGAAGTGTCTTGCGTGGCTCCACCGAATTGCCCTTTCTCCTTCCCGTTCAGGAGCACTACTTACGGCCCGAGTTAACCAGCGAGGTGTGCAAGGAAGCGCCACCTCCGTGTACCAGAAGAGGCTGCTACGGTTCCATCCTGGCCAAATCGATCCTAACCATGAAGAAGATGCCTTTCGTTTATGTACGTATGATCTCATACTCGAGTAAGGACCGTAGAGATAAAGTGGAATTCCTCTCCTCCCCTGACACCACGTACAAACTGTTTTCTGCAGGGGGTTTGTTGTGTCCTAGCTTGACCTGCCTGGGAGCTTGTTGTTGTTCTGTGAGGGTACCGTCTGATGCATTTTCCACGGGGAAAAAGGGCTGACAACTTTCCCTTCAGCCTTCTCTTGCTTGGCGTGATTTGCCTCATCATCGGCACCTAGTGACAGAACAGCAGCATTGCAGCACAGCATGAGAACTTGCATCCACTGAGGTGCTTGCTTACCCCAGGGGGGACAGAAGGCCGCATGCCCTCGCAAGCCAGAAACGCCACCAAGAGCATTAATTAGCGGCATCCCTCACCGGAAGAGGGGCTGGCCTCTTCCTGGTTCTTTCTTGAGGAGCCCTCCAGCGGAAAGAAATTCAGGCACCACAATAATGGTTCCTTTTAATGTACCTGGTGCGCAAGATGTCCTCGCGAAGAGGGTGCGCTTAGCAAGCCTCCAGGGGGTGACGGGGTATCACTGTGCTGTTCTTTATGGAGTCCTCAGGCGAAGGTATAAAGGAGAAACCGCTGCACTCAGCACCCCATCCCCCTCCCACAGCCGTGTGTCTAAAGAACAGGCCAGGCAGAGGGAGAAATTAATTCGGTTCACATTTTAATGTGAACTTCTTTGATTTTGCACTTTCAGAGTGGGAACCCAAACCCAGTTCTTCAAAATTTGTAACAATGCAAAAGTGCATATAGTGGGGAAACAGGCATGCGTAAATATCAGTATGTTACTGAAAATAATGTTAACAATGCATTTTATTGGGAGAGTGGCTTGCAAAAATGAGCGTCTTAGGCAAAGTTATATACAAAATATGCATCTGAAGAAATGTACATAAAGAGGTATGCAATTTTTCATGTAGTTGAGGACCAAAAAGGAGTCCCCCTTTTCACTGTGTGACCATGAGAGGGATGGGCAACCCCAGCAAGCAGTTTTATATAAAAAAAGACTTGATTGTAGGCATATACTAGCAATACAGAGCGAGCCCATCTCCAAATTTAAATATTTAGCTTTTTACAATGATTAGTAACAGAAAACATCACAGCAGAAAGCACTCAGCTACTTTTGTACATGGTTATCTTAACCTTCCAGGCTTATCTTTAAAAATTCCAACCCTTTTGTCTGAGTTTTATTTTGCATTTTCAACCCTCTTGTGTCTCTCTGATAGAACACTAAGTAACTGACCCTTGGTTGTTTGGTCATCAGGAAGAACATTCTTTAATATGAACTTCTTTTAAAGACATAGAAAGTTTGGGATGAACTGAATTTAAGAAAAAGCTAGAAATCAAGGGAAAAACTAAGAAATGAGGGGAAGCTGAAACGGAATGCTCTCCCCGCTCTCGCATCATATACAAGGTTAGTGTTAGTGAGTCGGTGTGGAGTTGTGGTTAAACATATGAGGCTGGGACTCAGGCGATCTGGGTTCTAGTCCCCGCTTAGTCATGGGTGACTTTGGGCCAGTCACGAACTCTCGGCACAGCCTACCTCACAGGGTTGTTGTTCTGGGGATAAGATTGAGAGCAGCAGGAGAAGAATGCTGTAAGCCGCTTTGAGGTCTTTAAAAAAGAAAAACGCGGGGTATAAATCAAATAAATAGGCCCAGTAGGGTAAGGGTGTGTCAAATGTGCTACAGCCAAACCAGTAATTTTAAAGTGACTGTTGTAGCAACACAGGGCGCTCAATGGACCAAATTTAGCTCGTCCTGAAGTTAAATTGGACCCCTGTCGAGCCCAGTAGTCCTGGTCAAAGATGGCTTTTTCCTAGTGTTAATGCTGCCCGTAAAATCCGCTTTGCAGGGACAGCATCTAGGGCTACTGGGGTCCCACAGGCGCCCTCCCCTGCTCTGGATCCACAGCCCTTCTTTCAGTCGTGGCTGCTAGAGGGTGTAGTGCGCAGGCCCATCAGAGAAGGAGCCGGTGGGCCTGCTCCCCATCCCCGTTGAGCATCCAGTGAAGAAACGGGCGCGGGGGCCTTCAGAAAGCGCTGTAAACTTCACCGTGTGCCTGGATGTTGCTTTTCCGGCAGAGCGATGGCACCAAAGACCCCGGGGGCTTCCGCTGCCACCACTGCGTGAACCAGTGCCTGCGCTCTCTGATATGGTTGACAGTTCCTCCCGAGGTCGTGAGCTTCCCCGAGGACGTCTTTGCGGTGCAGCCGGGACCTCCAGCGTTACATCCACCACACTGAACTGGAGCAGGCTGGGCTGTGGCCGGCGGGAGGAGAGGGCTGCTCATTTTTTGAAGGACGTGGGAACAGAGGGCATCGGTGCTGGAACCGGGGCAGCCGGCCTCTTCTGTCTTGGCGTGGACCACCAGCAGGCTTGATGCCAGACCTCCCAGTGCCCGCTTCGGCATCGCCTCCCGCTGTTAAGCTTCCAGAGGGAAATCATGAGCGGATTAGTAAGTTCAGCCAGCAGCTGCTCCTGAATTTGGCTCAGGGGAGGATGCTTAATGTCTCTGTGCTGGCTTTTGTGTCACGGAGTCTCCAAACTGATCCAGAGTTTGTATTTGATTGCACTTTCCAGAGGAGTGTGCGAAGGCAGCTGGCATGTTTCCTTCTGCGATTTTAACTGCAGTGTCATTCCAAATGGGGACCGTGAGCTGCAAACAGCAGCGTTCAGGGGCACGGGGCCAAGTACGCAGGCCGCTTTCTGGAGCGGCACCACTGCGGCAGGCCCCCCACGCCTCCTGGGCCCCGCAGCCCTTCGTGCTGAAGGAGGCAACTTGCACAGGACCCCAAGAGCGCAAGTTCTCCCTTTCCCACAGCAGCCGCTGCCAGTGGGATCCAGGCAAAGCCTGTGGGAGAACGGTCTGTGCGTTCCAGCTGCCTCCGTGTGCAGCAGGAGCCTCGCGCTCTTGGCAACATGCCGCCTTGGCCCTTGGGTGCTGGGAGCGGGCACTGTCGGCACTTTTGGGGGCTTCCGTGATCTCCCGCGGCGCCTGGCCCCCCCTTGATCTGCAGGCATGCAACGGCCTGGCCGCAGCTGCATTTCAATGAATGTATTCTTTGCATGTGTTGATTCATGCGGCACTCTCAGCAGGTGCAACACCATGCCCTGGAGTGGAGGTCTTAGGAACCTGATCCTATTTTTTTATTTGCAGGAGCGAGTTACAGTTTTTCACCTCCGTCTAAAAAGACGGAAAAGAAAACTCAGGCCTACTTTCTTTCCCCCTGCTTTCTTTGGGATGCATCGTCTCCGTGGTGTCTGTACCACAGAGTATTCCTCCAGTCTAAAGCAAAGCATTCCCACCAGATGGCAAGTGAGAGGGCTTGAGACAGGTTCGCCTGTCCTGTTCTTGCTGGTTTTCTGGCCTCTGCGTGTATATAGGGAGCAACACGGAGTGTTCCCCCAACGCTTGGCGATTGGAGTGGTCCAGTCGAGACCAGGTTGGCCCGTCTTGGAGAATTTGGGTCAGACGTGTCCCCACAGTCCCATGCCCATCTCTCCCGCCACTCTTTTTCTTCTATGCATTTCTTTATATGGGAAAGCGAAAAGGTGCTTTATCTTCTAGAAAGGTTTGCTTGTTGTAAAACTACAAAACAACATTGGTGATCAACAACCGTGCTGAATTATGCGAGAAACCCATCTTACGATAAAATATTGCCTTGTGATTTTGCCTGTGAGTCCTGCTTTTATAAAACCGCTAACCAATTTAAATCAGTTTAAATACCAAAGAAATTCTTTGACCGTGCCTTAAATTATGTTTTGTATATCTTGATAGACCCATAATTAGCCACTTTCCTGCTTGCTTGTGTTAAGGCAGGATTGGCTTTGGGTTGGTTGGTTGGTTGACAGTGAAGTCTTTGTGTGTTGAAAAGGGGTTGAGCCTTTTTAGCTTGGGGTGTCAAGAGAGGCAGTTTGGTGGGTGGGGAGAGTGGTGGATGGGGCGTGGGGAGAGCTGGATGCATCCCCACTTGACTGTGAAGTTCAGTGGGTAGCTCTGGGCCAGTCACTGACTCAGCCTAGCCTACATCACAGGGTTGTTGTGAGGATCAAGTGACGAGATGAAGAAACTTGTGAACTGCCTTGGAGGAAAAATGCTGGGATATCAATATACGTGTCTGGAATATGGTGAACGTGCAGGCTCTTTTTGCGAGGCAGATTTGCTGCAGAGTTTGGAAAGGTCATCTCAGTGTACGCTATCAGGGCTGAAGGACATCAGGATTGCTGGACTGGGCCTAAGGACCCTGGAGTGGCAGTTGCCCAAAGTTCATTCTTACTCCAGAGGAACACTCCCTGCCTCCCAACAAGGTCTCGCTTTTGCCACCAGGGTTCAGGAGCAGGAAAAGGCACGCGGTGCCAAACACAAGAGCAGGCAAAAAAAAAGGCAAAGCTGCAACGGTGCCAAAAAATATTTGAAAAAATAAAATGAGTAAAATGCCCAGCATATGTTGGTTAAAAGTGCCCCTCAGGAGAGAAGCGCGAGTTGAGTGTTCTTTGTAAAGCAGTCTAATAAAGGTATCCTTAAGTGGCATTGCGGCCTGGTTGGCAAGGCCTGTCGGAGGGCCTCTCCCAACCATGACCTACCTATGCTCAGCCTTGGGGGTTTTCCTCCAAGCGCCAACCCGACAGGAGTCTCCGAGGGGAGCGAGAAGGGACAGGGCCTTCTCTCTGTTGGTCCCCACCTCTTCGGAATGGCTTCCCTGCTGCAGCCTGCCTGGGGCCAAACTTGCGGTCTTTTCAGTGCCAAGTTAAGACAACCCCCGCCCCCCCCCCCCATGCAGAGGCCTTTAAAGAGCTCCCTGGTCAGCCAGGGGCTGGGGGGATGAGTCAGGTGACGCTTTCCTTTGCAGGGTCTCTTTTACTCTGTTTTTACCTATTTGAAATACATTTTAAAGCTTCATTTTTATGGCATTGTCTTGTTTTGTGTACTGTTGTGAACTGCCCAGTGCACTTTGGCTGTGGAGCAGTGTACGAATGAAATAAATTCTTACTTTTATTATTTCTCTGTATGACAACTTTTCTAACCTGCTGCCTCCCAGATACATTGGACCACAATTCCTGCCATCTCTGCTGGGCATCCTGGCACGGAAGCTGTAGCGTGGCACAACGGTATGGAATTCTGGGATCAGCGTGGCTTTTGGTGCCATGATTCTGCAGTATGCATCGAACCGGATCTTAATGACTACCAGTACCGGGTGGCAGGACTCCAACCGGACCTGCTTTTCCTTCCCGAGTCCCTTTGGCGATCGCCGCCAGCCTTTGAAGGGCCGTGCCAGCAGCAGATCCTTTTCACAAGTCTGGCTTCCCCAGCTGTGCCTCCATCGTGCCCGAGAAAACTTTTCCAGTCGGGCATCAGCCTGCTGGGCTACTGAAAGGATACGACAGCAGACCTCTGGACCTTTCCGAGTTTCTGCCTCCACCAGTTTTCCTGGCAAAATGCTGGTGAGCTGGAATTCATAATTTGCTGTGTGTCCCAGCCATGTCTGTCAGGCTCCACCCGGAAGTGTCAGGTTGCCACAATTCTCCCCTTCTTTCAGAGAGTAAACAGGATGAATGGCACACCGCCCAGGCAACAGGTAAATAGTGATGACATGTTATCACTAGGAGGCTGAATAGTAGAGACTGGATGCCTAGACTGGCCTCTTCTCTTGCCCTCACTTTCCATAGAACTTTATGGAGCTTTCTCATCCTGCATGGCAAAATGAAAACTCCCAGGCCTGAACGTCATGAGACGCCATGGTGAAGGGTGGAAACCTTAAACTGACTGAATTCACAGATGATACCAAAGTGGGGACGGTGCCCACAACTGAGGAGCAGGGGATCTGGATCTGGGCAGGTTATGGAAGTGGGTGGGGGACAACAGGATGGCGTTCAACGTGGGTAAGGGCAAGGTCTTGCTCTTGGGGCATGGGAATGGGTGTCACAGTGCAGGATGGGGGACAGGTGGCTGGAGAGCAGCCCTTGTGCAAGGGACCTCGGGGTGCTGGTCGACTGCAGGCTGAACATGAGCCAGCAGCGTGATGAGGGGTTGAGAAGGCGAATGCCACCTGTGGATGTATAACCAGAAGTGTGGCTTCTAGTTCTAGGGAGGTGTCGATACCACTCTACACAACTCTGGTGCGCCCACAACTGGAGTCCTGCACCCAGCTCTGGGCTCCACATTATAGGAGAGGCGTAGCTGGGTTAGACTCGGTCCAGGGCAGGGTCACAAGCATGGTAGCCGGGCTGGGAGGGAGGCCATATGAGGAGAGATGGAGGGAGCTGGGTCTTTTCAGCCTGGAGGAGAGGAGACTCCCCGGGGATCTGTTGGTGGCTTGTAGGTACGTGAGGGGTTGTCGTGTGGAGGGGGGCCGTGAGCTGTTCTTCCCTGCAGGGGAGGGCAGGATGCGCTCCAGTGGGGCAAAGCTCAAGGACCGGGCTTCAGGTTGGATGCCAGGAAGTGCTTCCTGACAGTGAGGACCCCTAGGATACGGAACGGGCTTCCAAGGGAGGTAGTGGAGGCCCCATCCGTGAGAGCATTCAAGGAAAGACTGGACACCCACATGGCAGGATTACATGAGTGGAGCCGGCTGTCAGACTAGATGGCCTGGGCCCCCCCTTCTGTTTCTATGTCTATGTTTCAAAACCATTTATTTATCTCCGTGGTTTCCAGAAACCAAATGTACCATATGTTGCAATTCTATGACTGGGTTCACATGCTCTGACAGACCCACAAAGGACAAAGGCCCCCATGGTCTCCCGTGATGTGAATCCCCAGCCTCTCTCACTGCCTCCATGAAGCAGCTGGCTCTCGGAGCTGGGGCTGCATTCTGGAGCTCTGTCCACCTTGCCTGGGATTGTCCGTTTCAGGTGTGTGGGCTGCACATATCTTACAATGCAACCCTAGGGAAATCTACTCAAAAGCAAGCCCCATTAAATTCAGGCCTGAATATAGGTAAGTCTATATAGAACCGAACTCTTAATCAGACAAACCTTTCAAGTGAAGTGTAAACAAATTCAATTTTGCTTCCATGTTCCCCAAGGTAAAGCCCAAGGCTGGGAAGTACTTGAAATATGGGGACAAGTATACACCACACAGGAGCTGCCCCACAGACTCCAACCCCCGACTTTCTCCACTTCTAGCTAATTCGTATCCCTCTCTAACCATCTAAAATCTGAATTTAAGGGACCATTACAAAAAGGAAGGGCCTTGGATCTCCTCTGTCCCCCAGGCCAGGGTAATTTATGCACCGGTTTTGGGACCCACACCGCACTAAGTCAAGGCCCCCGGCTTTCCAGTTTCTTTCCAGAGGAACCAAGTAATCTGTCTCTAAACTCATGAGGCCTTCCTTTGAGTAGTAGGCACCAGTCGCATGGCTTGCTTCAGGGGAATTGTGTTCTGGACAGCTTGGGTGCCTCTTGAACTGGCTTCTCTCAGAAAACCACTGGAGTGTTGGCAAGTTATTCCAAAAGCAAAACCGCAGCAAAAGCGACATGATGGGTAGCAGACTTTCCCTTCTCACACATTCCAGTAACATGTAAACATTTGGAAGAAACTGACCCTGTGTGTACGGTAAGACAAGGTTACGGAGGCCTTGCAATTTGGGAAACAACGTCAACGCTGCAGAGTTCCCGGATTTAAAGAGTCCTTCGTTGGCCAACAAGTCGCAAAACGGACTTTCAGAAAGGCACCTTGGTCTCTGAGTCGCTGCGCTAAAAGAACCAGCCTCAGGCGCTCGGTCGCCACACTCCCAGGATCTGCCCGACACACGCCAAGCAATCCCACCGTAAAATGAAGCTCGCTCGCCTGCTCATCACGCTCTTCCTCTGGACCAGGAGCCTCTGGCAGGCTTCCCCCCATGTCTGACCCCGCTGGCAGAAGGCCAAATTCTATGGGGGAAACTTTCGAGGACTGCCTTCTGGCAGAGGATAGGGCACCCCCCCCCCCCCGGCCTCTTTCAGCACCGATTGTGACTAAGCCTTAGCAAGGCATTTTCTCCTTTCAGAATTCAGCGCGCCATCGCATTAACGTTGGGGTGCCACTGAATTACCGGTCGTTGGGGGAAACGGGGAGGGGCCATGGGAAGCGGGGGGCCTTCTAGGGAGCTCCTAAGGGCTGGACTGGGATGCAGCTCCTGCCCCCTGCCTTAACATAAGGCCTGAAAGCAAACGGGGGCTCAAAAGACCTCCCCCCCAGGTGTGACGGTTTTGTGGTCTCCCATTCAGCTCGGAGGGATGACGTCACAGCAGATTCTGGCGGTGGTCCAGCTGGTCGGAGGAGAGAGGAAACCAATTTCTTGCCTCTGCCTTGCCTTCCACTCCAGCTCGCAGCAGAGCGGGGCCACCTCAGACCCCCGGGCCTTGCCCCTCATTTCCAGTGGACGGCGTCCTTGAGGCTCATCCCACCTGAAAGAGAGCAGACAAGGGAGGTCCTTCGTGCGTCAAAGTCGGGAAAAGCCTTTTTTTTTTTTGCACGTGCACCAATGTCTTCGCAATGGAACACCGCGCAGGTAACCTCCGAGGTAAGGAAGCCACAAATGGGGGATGATGGGAGTTGCAATCCCGCACAAACGGATGGGGCTGGGCTGGGAAAGGCTGAGTTCGCCCACATCTGGTGATTTTGGGGGACAGTTGCTCTGCACCATGGCGGTCGAGTCCTGGGGTACCGCTCAGTGCTGTCCCCCAGGCCCCCCCAACATCTATACGAAGCCGCTGGGAGAGTCACGCGCAGGTTTGGGCTGGGGAGTCCGCAGCAGGCTGATGACCCCCAGCTCTGCCTCTCGCTTCCATCTCCCCCAGGTGAGGCTGTTGCCGTTTTGAACCACGGCCTGATAATGGACTGGGTGAGGATCCATAAACCAAGGCTCAGTCCTGACAAGATGGAGGTGCTGTTGGGGGGGGTCATCTGACAGGTTGGAGGGGCACTGCCCTATCCTTGAGGGGATCGCACTCCCCCAAGGGAGAGGGTCCGCAGTCTGGGGGGGGGCTCCTGCACCCGGGTTTGTCCCTGGAGTATCAGGTGAGCTCGGAGTCCAGGGCGCTTTCCTTCAGCTACGGAGGATACTCCAGCTTTAGTATTTTATTTTTACTGTGTTTTGGGGTTTTATTGTGTTTTTATCCTGTAACTGTGAGCCGCCCAGGGCTGCTGCGGCGTGATTGAGCAGCATACCAAGGTTTAAAACAAACAGAGCCGGGGTCTTGCTCTAGGGAAGCCTTCCGTGCCGTCTGTCCTAAAAGGAATCAAACAACATTGCTTCCAGTAATTACAGAAAAGCTCGCAAGGACAGAACTGCAGGCCAAAGGCAACAAGCTACGTACGCACACGCCTGAGCTCAAAGTACTCCGTGAGGCCGGCTGAGTTTTACGAGGGGCATTTCGACCTTTTACAAGGGGGCTGACATGCAACAGCCAAGAAGCCGCCAAGCGGGTGGCTGGCAGGGGAAAGGGGTCGGGTCGGTGGCTGGACTGGGACCCAAGGACGTGGGGCACCACCTCTCTGGCCTACGATCACGAGGAGGGGTGGAAGAAGTATGGAGGCCGCTCCCTCCCCCCCTCCGACTCTTCTGCCTGGGCTGCCTGGCTGGCGCTGAGCTCAGCTTGCTTCTGTCACGTCCCCCGGCTGGATGCTTCCCGGCTGCCCCGGAGAATGTCTACAGATGGGGCAGGGAGGATGGGGAGTCGGTCCCTTAGAAAAAGAGAAGATGCCCCAAACCCTGGATGGCTGGCCGGGAGGTCATCCATTTGCTGCCCATTGACCTCTTGGGCTGAGCTCAATGGCAGACCAAATAGGCACCGAGTCCAGTAATCCTGGTTCTTCAGAACGGGAACCCCCCATGAACCACCCAAGACAATGAGAAATTTGGACCACCGATGGGATGCAAAGAGGCGGGACTCCAAACCCAGCGCTGAGGGGCCTCAGTCCTCGGATACCACTGGGAAGACAGGAGAATTGTACCACCTGATTATGCAATTTCCAGCAGGAAACAGAGTAGGAACCCATCTTTTCCGGGACTCTTGGACCTTGTCCAGGGAGTCTTCTTAAAGTACAAGATATTTCAGATAATGGCATGATTGCAGTAGGAGTGGCCTGGCTGCTTTTATCTGCCTCAGCCGCAACGCAGCCCTCGGGGATTCGCCAGGGGCCATGCCGTTTCCCCAGACACAGATCGCCTGGGGGGTTTCTGGTGCCTAAGTGTGGGTGTGTAGAATCATAGGATAGTAGAGCTGGAAGGAACCAAGAAGGCCATCGGGTGCAACCCCCTGCTGTTGCAGGACACCGAATCCCACCATCCCACTCAGAGGGCTGTCCAGTTTCACCTTGAGTGTCTCTAATGTGGGAGAGCCCAGCACCTCCTCAGGCAGCTGGTTCCACTGTCCTCTTGCTCTGATAGTGAGGAAGCTCTTCCTGATGTCCAGCCTGAATCTGGGTTGTCACAACTTGAACTGATTATTTCATGTCCTACACTCTGGCATCAGCAAGGAGAGATCTTGGCCTTCCTCTTTGTGACAGCCTTTGTGGTCCTTATAGAGGATCACGTCCCCCCTCAGGTTGTTCTAAAGCTGTAACCTATCTTGTTGTCTGGACCCAACAATGCTGACAAGCCATGGCTTGTTAACTGTGACCAACCCATGAGGGGAACCCATCTTTGCTTGCTGGGCTGTGAACCATGGGTTGTTCTCAGCTTATCTCAGCTGGCTCAGACAATACAACCGTCCCCCCTTTTGACAACCCATGCTTCAGCTTTGAGCGGTACCCAGTCATGATGGGTTACCACATCATCTGAACCCAAACCACTTTCCCCAGGCTGGCTAGTTTGGGGGCAACTCCTCCCCTGACAGCCTGCAGGACTGTTAGCTCCGCCATGGGTTGCCCTGTCATCTGGCGCCGGCAGAGCAGGTTCGTCACGGGTCACAGGGATCGGCTAGTGAGCCGCTCAGAAGTGGAACCGTCACCCTTTGACACTTCGCAGCCTCACCCAGGTGCCAGCTGGTGACACCCCTCCGCCGTTCCCCAGCAGCCCTTTGAAGGGACCACTGCAGGCATGGCACCTTTTTTGGGGGGGGGGTGGCCCCAGGAACGTGCTGTCTTTTTGCGTGTGCATGTTTCTGTGTCAGCCGCTTGCGCAAGAGCTTCAGTTTGGCTTTCCGGTGCATGCGTGCGTGGCTGGTCAAAGCCCTCTGCGGAATTGGGCACCACAGTGACAAACCGATGTGGCAAGACGACCGGCCAGCTCTTGGAGGCCTAGTGGACAACTGAGAGTAAACAAGCGCCTCATTCTGGGTAACTGAGCACAGCCGACTTGCCAGGTGGCCTGGAAAAAGTCCAGGGAGAGGCTGCTGATGCTTAAGGGACAGTCTGGCGAGGAAACAGTCGCATGATTTAATGACAACAATCAAAAGCTATTCATCGACTGCCAGACTTTGACAGGCCTGCCTGCCTCTCACCCGAATGTTAAAAAGAATCTGCATTTTTGACTCACCGCCCCGAGCAAGGCAATATTGCGCAACGCACATACTGCAAGTGACCTGACGCAGAGCTGCCTGGGAAAAGGGGCGTCCTTCGGGTGCCATTCGATGCTGCTGCCTGTGGCCCTGCAAGCTTGGAGGATGGAAGGTTTGCCTTGGTCCCCCTTGCCCTTCCAAACACACAGGTGGCTGATTCCAGCTGCCCAAGGGCTTGATTTTTTTATTTAGAAGATTCATATCCCGGCCTTTTCTTTTCCAAAGAACTCAAAGTGGCTTCCATTATTCTCCTCCCGCTGCCCTTGATCTTTTCCCCACAACTACCCTGTGAGGTAGGCTGGGCAGAGAATCTGTTCCTGGCCCAAAGGCACCCAGCTGGCTCCCTGGCTGGGTGAGGGCTAGATCCCAGGTCGCCTGAATCCCAGTCCTGTGCTCTTAACCACGACACTCTACGGGTTCTACTCCTGCTCACGAGGAGGTGCAAACAAGGCCCTCCTGGGATGGGCTTTGCTTTAGTTTACCTTTCACTCTCCAATCGCCCAGTGGGTCAAACGATGGATGGATGGTTCCCACGTTCTTCCAACCTTTTCCCGCTGCCTCATCTCCTTCCAGTGCCCTGGGCCTCTTCTGAGCAGGGCAGGATGTTGCTCTCCAGCATCCCGTGTGTCACACGCGCGCGCTCTCTCCTCTCGCGCTCTCTCCTGCTTGGCAAACGAGCTATCCTTCCGAAAGTGATTACCCTGTGGGCAAGCCAGGAGCAGTTTTCGCCCACTTTGGCCTTAACTCCGGCGAGGGGCTGGAACGGGCAGGGCGGTGCCAGCCGTGAGATTCCACAGTGCGCTCTCCAGCACCGCTTTCCGATGCGGCATGCCAGGAAATGCACCGGGCATCCGGCAACATGCTGCTCCGCTCACCTCTAAGGCCATCTCTGTGTTTTGAGGAAGTCTTGGTTTTGCCTCTCAGCCCTGCTCAACCGGTCGAGGTGGCCCCCTGCGCCCCCATGGGGAGCATGGGCATCCCTTCGGGGGCAGCACCTGAATCTTCTGGCCCGTTGCCTGATGGGGCAATCTGGCCGCCTCCTTCAGACATCGTGGGAGCCAGCACCCTCTGCGGAAAGTCTGTTCCCCCTGCAATGCCTGTCCATCTCAGAGAACATCTGTAAAGAACACACACACCCCCATGAGCTCTGGACCTTAAGAAGGGCTCGGCACCCTGAGAAAATGCGCAGGGCATCTCAAGGACTTTAGGCTGCGATTCAGGCTACAGAAGAACCTTTGGGTGATGGGGCAGCATACAAACAGAATGGCATTCAATAAATAAACCAGCAAATGAATCCATTCTGGCTGGGCTGATTATGTCAGATCAAAAGCAAGAACCACCAGCTCTCTTTTCTTGGCCGTACCTAGCGTCAGACCGCTCTTGAATCAAAACGCATTCCAGTTCAGGTTTCTCTCTCTCTCACACAGTTTGACACTCTATATATGGAGCTGTCCTTGGAAAAAACCAGACATTTGCACCTCACCCCACCCCACCCCTGCGGACACCCCGCCCCCAGATCGCAGCTCAGCGGCACAGCGGGGGCTCCGCACAGGTAGAATGCAAGGCTCAGTTCCCAGAACTTCCAGGTAAGGCGTCCCTGGCAAAAGCCCTGGAGCGAGGCTCCCAGTCAGTCCCAGCAACCGCACTGGCCTAGCTAGACCTCAGACCCACAATTCTCCGAGTGCATCATGTGGCAAAGGAAAGGAAGGGAACTTACCTCGGTCTTCTATAAAGGACCCATAAAACGAAGCATATTATGATGACCGCTAATAATACAGAAAAAAGACAATTGAAGGTATTACTTAAGTGCATAAAGTTAGGGACCTGAAGTCTTCCCCCAGGGCCTGGACTGCCAGCTCCAGCCTCCCCCAGCCACCTGGGTTAGGGAAGACTGGTCTCGCAGCTCTTTGTGCCCCACTGCCAAATGAATGGCCCATCCTGGAAAGCCGAGGGGCGTTCTGTCTTCTGCAGGGGATACAATGAGCAGTGAGATGCTCTCAAATGATGCCGCTCCCAGGGAGGAAGTGCAGGATCGCTAGGGAAAGCCTAACGCAGGGTCCAGTTGAAGCTGTGTTTGCAGACAGGTACCACTGCGGGTGGGTGGGAAGACATCAGAAGTCTGAGAAAGCAGCTGGTCAAGATCCAATGGAGGGGAAGACACCAGAGAACAAGGGGGAAGGGAAAACCTCACAGAAGCCCCAATGACCCGAAAGGAAGTGAAAACTGTTGGGATGTGAAAGGGGAAGAGTTTCACATACGGATCTGTTCCTTGGCCGGCAGGTCTAAAAATCGCTATTTTAAAAAATAGTTTAAAGCAATCTCTTAAGATAAGAATGTAAGGATCAGACCAAAGGGGTATCCACCAAGTTTAGCATTCTGTTTACACAGTGGCCAAGCAGATGGCCAGGATAAACCCACAAGCACCCCCTCGCCCATGTTCCCCAGCAACTGTTCTCCCATCTCTGATCCTGGAGACAATACAGAACCAAGAGGAGCAACCGACGGCTTTAACCTTCAGGAATGTGTCCAATCCCCTTTGGAAGCCCAACAAATTGGCAGCCGTCACTGCCTCCTGTGCAGCCCAACCCAAGGTAAGGGGACTTCTCACAATCCACCACAGAGCTAGAATAATCCCTTACCTAGGAAAGGGAATCCAATCCTGAAGTAAGGCGATCCTGCAAAAACAACAACAAAACCACACCTTTACGGGATACTCTATATGTGAAGCATCTGAGGTCCTCCTCCCACCAGTTCAAGGGGTTATGCCCCAGCTTGGCTGTTTTTGGTAACTCTGAGCATGCAGAGTTCATATGGAGCATGGAAATTATTCTCGTGACGTATTATGGTTAGAAAATAGATCTAAGGGGATGTGAAGAGATAAAACCATGAAATAGAATTAGGTTTCACTCCTCTGCAGCCCTTCGTAGAAGTCACCAGGGAGCTGTGCGACTTCCCCCCTCTACACATTCGCAGGCTTGTGCCTCTGCTCAATTCTGCAAGACAGAGAAACGCAAATGTGCTTCCTTTGCAATATTTACATGGCCACCGAAGTCAGGGGTTTTCGAGAAGAGTCTGGCTGACCTTAAGAAAAGAAGAAGGAACAGTCCTTCATAGTTCAAGCCCCTGCGGAGCTTCTCCAGCTGCCTTCCCCAGCTGTGCTGTCTGGAAGAGTGGAAGATGGCGGTGTGGAAGCTGAGCTGTTACCTAATCTTCCAGGCAGCAGCCAGGCTGGGCCCTCAAAACTCATGGGAATGAAGATTCGGGGATGGGAATACGAGACCCCAAAACAGGGTCCAATGGAAGGGGAGGGACAGGATGAGGGCACACGATGCTCAGAGACGCGTAGCCCGGGAGGTGACCTGCAAGGACCTGAGCTGAGGGAGGGAACCCACACAGCTTGAGAGAGGCGGGCTGCAGCAGAAGGCGCCCGTCCCATGGCGACTCTCTGTCACGGCTCTCCAGTCCAGGGAACGAACTGAATCTTGCAAGGACTCGACTTAGGCAAGGCCTGCCTGGAACTCTGGTCTCTTGCGGCTGCGAAAGGACACGGTCTGCAAGTCTCCGCAAAGCTTGCTTGTTCACAGACTCCATAACAAAGTTAGCTGACTGGAGGTCAGGCTCGGCAGCCAAGAGGGCCAGGGGCCAGACCGGGCAATGGGGTGATAAAGGGGGGGAAGCAAGCACACGCTCTCCTTTCAAGCCAGTTCCCACCCTGTCTGACAGTTGCAGTGAGAACGTGGAGGAAGCCCCTGCTTTCCCCGGGACTCGTCAGCTGGCTGCCGGCCCACACAGATGATTCTGGGTGAGGCGTACCACCAGGGCACCGATTCCGTCTCGGCTGCAGCCCGCCTGATCCGCACCCCAGCCAGGGACGGCATCACCCAAGGAGCCCCCCAGCAGCACGACTGTTTCCTGAGCGTGCAGCGCTTTGCGCATTAACATAATCACCTCGAGGACTGCCTGGGCTTTCCCCAGTGGCAGCCCACGCTGCCGTGCTACCGCAACAGCGGCTAATACGATGCCTGCAGCAGGCGGGTGCGGTAAAAAACCCAGTAAGGAGAGGAGGAAGAAGCGACTGTTGCCGATTGCAGTTGGCAGTCAACCCCTCCATGTGGCAGCAGGCCGAGCGAATCCAGCGCCGGAAGCAGAGAGGCAGCGTCAGCTAGGGCAGAAGCAGAAAGCAGCACTCAGAAAATGGGGAAGGAAGCAGGGAGAAGGCGAGCACTGGACCGGCCAGAACTGAGGCAAGGCAACAGGAAAGGAAAGTGCCACAGAGAGGCTAATCTTAGCCCGAATGGGCTGACGCAACATTTCCAAAGATGAAGTGACGTGAGAGAGTGGCCTTCCTCAACCTGGTGGCCATCGGAGGCATTTGGACTGTGACTCCCAGAACTCCCGTCCAGCAGGGCCACTGACTGGGAATTCTGGGTGCTGCAGTCCAAAAGTGTCTGGAAGGCGGAAGGCTGGGATACAGGCATGGCTGGGCAACTTTTCCCTCTGGCTACTATTTATGCACAATCAAATGTACAAGATTCCCAGAGGGATCTTTGGCTACCAGCCGCTGGAAAACAGAACTGGGAAGAGACGCCCCTTTGGAGGCTTCACAGTGACTTAAGCTCCCGGCAGCATCAACCAAGCGCACTGGGATGTGGCCAGCAGGTGCTTTCGGGGCCACTGGGTACCTTGTTTTTGCTGGCAACAAGCCAGGCTGCCCGCATCTAAACTACGGGCATGGGGACCACCGGGCACCGTCCGATATGGCACTCTCTGAATTCTCCAAAGCCAGCGGGTGCCCTCCGCACGGGCTGGACTTCAGCTATCAGCCCCCCTCACCGCCTCTTTAATGGAAAAACAGCCTAGAAATATTTTGGATTCAAAGCACAATGCCGGTCATGGAGCCTGCCAAGAAAAGCTTACGTGACGGCTCTGCCCATCTGCGCTTCCTTTTGCAGCAGCCGATGCCTGGAGGTGGGAGTAAGAGGCACCGGTGCAACGGCACCGATGGATGTGGGGCGAGCACCCAAATGTTTGCAGGGTCACACCCTGAGGTGCACCTGATGCCAACACCCTCCCCTCACTGGAACCCTTCTGGTCCAATTCCAGCCAGCCAGACGTTCCTTCAGGATACTCTAAGGGGCTCTCCTGGCATTCCCCACCCCATTTTCCCCCAAGGGACACTCAACCTGCTGCAGCCTTGGAAACAGAAACATAGAAACTGGGCGAGTCAGAAGGGGCCTCCTGGGCCATCTAGTCTGACCCCGGCTCCAGCCGGCTCCACTCACAACATGCCTACCATGTGTACATCCAGCCTATCCTTGAACAGCCTCACTGGTGGGGCCTCAACCACCTCCCGTGGAAGCCCATTCCATGCCCTCGGGAACCTAGCCGTCAGGAAGTACTTCCTGGCATCCACCCTAAATCTTAGTTCCCTGAGCTTGGCTCTGTTGGAGTCCGTCCTGCCTTCCTCTGCAGGGGAGAACAGGTCTCTACTCACCTCCGTGTGACACCCCCTCACGTACCTGCATGTCACCAAGAGAGAGCCCACAGCAAAATAAATCACACAGCCTGCTCGGTTTAGTGGGGGGAAAGATCTGGCAGAAGAAAGGCGCATGCACGTGGGAAACACACAAATACGGACCCTAAACGAGTGCCGGGCGGACTATTCCGCCTGCAGCGCGAGCGAGGAGGGCCGGAGCGCTGTGCCTCGAGGGGGCCGCAGCAGGGGGCCAGTCGCTGCAGAGCGCCGGGGACGAACCTGTGATTCCCTGCCGCACGCTCTTGTCGGACGACCGTGTCGCATTCCCCGGGATCCGGCCGGCGGGCGCCGAGGTTCCTCTGTCGCCGCTCCCGGGCATCGTGCTAGCCGGGGCCTGGGAGGCTGGTGGGCTGGTGCTCGGGGGCCGCGTCACACCTGCGGTGGCGGTGGCGGGGCAGCAGCGGCCGGCCTCTGCGGTGGCCGTCGACGGGCTGCTAGGGCTGGGCGATGGCAGAGAGGCCGTCCCAGGCGGCGTGCTGGCGGGGTCTGAGGCTGGCTGGGAGGCGGTCCCGCTTCCATGGGGGTGCAGGGGGGCCGCTGAGGGGGCTGCACTGGTAGCCTCTGGAGCCGATGGTGTGGAACTCGCTGTTTCTACAACACGGGCAAGTACATTGTCTTAGGCCAGTGCTTGGAATCGGTCTGTCTTTGCTCGCCTGATTTAGCAGCTTCGCCCTCCGACTGCCCTACTGGTACTCAAGTTGTTGGCTGTGGCCGGCACACGCAGCCACGGAGGTTTCCCCCGGGCATATATATAAAAACATTTCACTAAAAACAATAGAATAATAGAAAAGGCCAAGTTTGGCAGCATGCCCCACAACCCCGGGACGTGTCCAGTGGCTACAGAATCCTCGGAAAAAGAGCCTGGGGACCAAACCAGCTTCCCGTATCTCAGATGTTTTGGGCTGCAGCTGCCAACGGTTAGGCCCAATAGGAGCTGTGGCCCGAAACATCTGGAGAGCACCACTCCACGGAAGGCTCAACTAAGCACGAAAAGTGCCAGAGTCCAACAGACTGTGGAAAAGCAAACACAGCTCTTCTACGTAGGCAGGAATGGCATTTGCTTTTGTCAAGGCTTGGAGATAAATCTTCCATGAGGGAGTTAGGCAGGGATGACTGCCTAATCTCTGAACTGTCATTATTTATTAATAGTAAATAAAATATTCCCTGAAGACTTCCTTCTCCAAAACGTGCTGCCGCCCTTTCTTGTCCTTTCTCCCTTCCTTGATAGTCATTTTTCTTGGATGCAGCTCCACAAAATAATTTCACGTTTCTTTCCTGCCAGGGTGGCACCGTGGTTCTGGGTGCAGGACCAGGACTCGGGGGATCTGGGTTCAACTCCCCAGTCAGACCCAGCAGGAGATTTGTGGCCAGTCCTTGCCTCGCCATCCAGTCTAGCTCACAGGGTTGTCGTCATGAGGATGGAAACGGAGGAGGAGAACCTCATCAGCTGACTTGGCCTCCTGGCAAGAGGAAGGCCGGGGGGACATGGCTTTTCATGGAAGCATCACGAAAGGACTGGGTCAAGCACCACCGCAAGGCACTTCAAGAGCCACTTTTTGGCGGAAAGGAGGGGAAAAATCAAGGCTATGTAATCCAATCGGTAAATACAACCCACTCTCTGCATGTCGCCCTGTGGCACTGGCAGGACCCCGGGGGAATTCCATCCACACATGCAAGTGCAACCCGGAAAAGGAACTGAGGCCGGGCATGTCGTTTCCACTGGATTTCAGCCCTTCCGTCCTGTGCTCACGCAGACGGCGGCGCTCTTCTTCCGCCTTTGCTTCGATCCAGTCTCAGGCTTGCACAGGCTCTCTGGCGCGAGCGGCGAGGCATCAGCCCAAGCACATGGCAGCTGCGCACCGGATCGGGGAGGCTGGCGGAGCGGGCACCGAATAGGACTCGGAGTGCTGTCCCTGCCAGATCTCGGAGTGTGAGGTCATTCCCTTCTTGCATCCCTGATTTATCCGGTTTCTGTCCCTGCCCCTGCCTAGCTTTGTTTGAGAGCAGCGATGCCAGACGGCAAGCAAAGACGTACGTGAATTAGTCAGAAATAAGCAAGCCCCACAACCTTGGCAGATGGAGGGCGCCCTCCTGATTCATCCATGCTGTGAGGACAAGCAGCAGGTTTGCTCTTACAGGGTTGGTCTTCACAGGGCAAAATCCTCACACTAACATGAGCAAGAACCCACGGACATGGGAGGTGGCTGCCCGAGCGAGGAGCTTCTAATGTTTATTTTTTATTTATCTTAATAGTCATATATTGCACCTTTCCCATAAGCTGTGGGCAGTTTATAAGAAATTAAACCAGCAGTTAATAATATTGACTAATACATGTAATAGAACTGACATGAAAACTAATCTGCAAAGTTCGGTCAGAAGAGATACATCTTTAACTCCCTCTGAAAGGTGCGAATTTGGGGAATCGGACGCATCGCTCCCGGAAGACGATTCTGCAGCTTCGGGGAAACCACTGAGGAAGTTGGCTGGGTAACTGACCTTAATCTGACAGGAGCAGACTTCAGAAGATTCTCCCCGGGGGAGAACAGAACGTGTGGGCAAAGGTGCTCCTCCGGGACCTTTGAACCCTTAAGGGCTTTAAAGGAGATTAGCATCCTCTTGCCCCGTATTTGGAAATGCACTGGCAGCCAGGGCAAAGACCTTAAAAGAGGTCCATGAAGTCCCAGGGACCAGCCTGGCTGCCCTGTTTCGTACTAACTGCCATTAGGCGCAAGGGTAGCCTTACGCAGAGGCTAGGAGTTGCCCGCAGGTGCACCACGGGGTCCGGGCCATTCTCCAGCGCAGTTGGCGGATCAGGCCAGGTGCATCACACACACTCCTGACCGCGGCTTCTATCTGAGCCCACGTTGGAAGAGCCACATCAAGTGGCAGCCCCAAGCTAATGATATTAGGAGGGTGAGCACCCGGAGGAGGGCCTTCTCTGCGGTGGCGCCCCATCTATGGAATGCACTCCCCAGAGAGGTCCGCCTGGCGCCGTCGTTATTTGTTTTTCAGTGCCAGGCGAAGACCTTTTTATTTAAAACTTATTTTAATTGCTAAATTATTGTATTTATTAGGATTTTAAATTAGCCAAGAATGCACCGGGGGGTTTTAAATGTTTTTTTTTTTAAATATATTTTTTGTGAGCTGCCCCGAGGCTTTGATGCGATGGAGGCGGCATAGAAATGTTTTAAATAAATAAATAAAGCTGCGCGCATGATCTTTCAGGGGCAGTGCGACTCCGCCTGGAACCAGCTGATGTGCTGGATTTGGACCCTCAACAGCAAGGACCTCTGTTTTCTCTGGATGCGATTTATTTTCCTCATCCAGCCCCTTTCTCCGGCGGTCGCTCGGAGTGGAGACGCCGCCTCTGGAAGCGGCAGCAAACGGAGGGAAGGAGAAGCGGACCTGGGTGTCAGCAGCGGACTGAGACTTCCTGCGGATCCTCCAGCGGCTTCATGTGAAGCAGCGTTGGAGACGGGGGGGCCCTGGGGGCTCTAACACGCGTGTTGAACCTCCTTTGGCTCGCGGGCCGCATGCAACTTCGGAGAAGCTCTCGGGGGCGGGGCCAAGCAGCTCTCGGGGGCGGGCCAAAGGCAAAAGGGGTGGGGCCAGACACATGCCGGTGCCTGTCAGTCCGAGACCCTTTGCGGCCAGCCGGGGTGGCTGGGGTCGGGGGAACAGCGTGGCGCTTTCCGGGAAACCCTGCAGGGCTGGATTGGAGCCCCAGGGGGGTGGGATTTAGCCCCTGGATCTGATGCTCTGCCCCCCTGCCCCATGGGGAAAATTGAGGGAGGTGGGGGAGAGGGCGAACCTTTGTCACTGACCTCTGCATAACGGGCTGGAGGAACAGCTTCTGAAGCACGCCTGCAGCCCCTGAAGTCAATGTGGGGGCAGGAAACCCCTGACCTCTTTGTGCCCCTCGTAGGTTACCTGCGAGCCCCATGGCAGAAATCGCAGCGGTTTTGCAAAGGAACAGGGCAGAACTGCTCCCCAGGGAGCTCCCGGCAGCCTGACGCCGCTTGGACTAAAGGAACCCGTCCGGTGCTCCTTGCTCCCTGGCTCAATTTGGGCCGCTGCCAAAAAAGCAGCACCAGCGGGGTGGCCGGAAAGCGCCCCATGGCGGCTCCGCTGCTGCCGCTACTTCCTTTGCGGGGGAATTTGGACAGGGCCCAGCTGGGGCGGCTGGTCTTGAAGCACAGTGGGGTCGCCGGAGTGCGGGGTGAGACAGGGCCCACGGCGGGCAGACGTTGCGTGCGGCACGTCCCAGCCTTCCCCACCCGGCAGGTACATTGGATCAGAAGCCCAGCCAGAACGGCCCTTGGTGGGTCCAGCTGGGGATGATGGAAGCTGTAGTCTGCCAGTTTGGGGAGGCTTGGTGTACAGAGCGCCGGCCCTTCCAAGCCCAACAGACGTGCTTGCTGTTGAGCCTCACATTTCGAGGGAAGGTTCTGGGACGGAGTGCCCAAGCCGATGGGAAGAACAGGAAGAATTCTGCACAATTGTGCAGCGCGGTGTCTGTTTATTTAGCTTTATAACCCCCATTTTCCCCCAGCAGGGAATGCGAGGCCGCTTGCACAATCGACCTCCTCCGCTCCAGCTTATCCTCACAACAATCCTGCGAGGCAGGCCAGCCTGAGAGTCGGGGTCTGGCCCATGTCGCCCAGCTGAGTGAGGAACTGAACCTGGGTCTCCTGAGTCGCAGTCCAAAGCTCTCACACCTCTGCTGCCAGGTGACCCTCGCTCCCTCTTTCACATTTTGAACCTTTTACGGCCTTCCCTCGTTGTTGGTGACGGCAGTCCTCAGTGTCTGGCAACATCTGGATGCCCTTATTTTCCCTGGGATACCCCCAAAAAGATGCTGTGTCAAGACCGAGCATCTTCGAAGCAAAAGTTCTAGGGGGAAACGGCAGATCCTAGAACTGTTTCACACAAAGCATCTTCCCCAGTTAGCAAAATGCCACTCAATTTTCCATAATTTTCACTGCCCCTGAACTGGGTCACCAATCTGGAATTTCAGTAATTGCCCTAATTTGTGTCTCCTATCTGACGCACATTTAAGGAATGGCTGAATTACTGGAAATATATATTCGTCACCACTGCCTAGCCCGGGATGAGCGGAGACAAAAGCCAAGCGGTCCTACCTCTTCTGGAATCTTCCGTTGTGGCTTCAGGAGGAGGATCAGGCAGCGATGGGTCTCCTTGTGGGGAAAGCAAACAGAGAGGGAGAGAGAGAAACAGAAACTGGCGGCCAGGAGAAGGCCAGTGTTTGGCACCTCATCTCCTTGCCGCCTCTGCGCACAATTTAAAATGCTGGATGCCACCCAAGCTATTCATTTATTCCCCGCTCTTCAGACAAATACCCGGCAAAGTGGCTTACAAACTATCAGGGTGTTGCTCACAGGTGCATGGCCAAAATCGGCATAATCAAAACTGAGGGAATTAAGCCATGCAGCTGGTCACAGGCAGCAGAACATATGTGATAAATTCACGCCAGGGAAGTCGCTTAAGTCAACTTTTGTGAGCTGCCCCAAGGCTTTGTTGCAATGGGGGCAGCATAAAAATGTTTTAAACAAACAAACAAACAAACAAACTTGCTTTGAAAGCTTTCCTAAAAGGCTGGTAGCTGGAAGGAGAATTAAGGGGCCACCACCAAGAAAGCCCTGCCGTTCGCACTTGCCGATAGAGCTGTTCAAACCCGCAGGTACCTGGGGAGAAGCCCCAGTGATGTTCTAAATGAACAGGGGAAATTATGCAGAGAAAGTGGTCCTTTGGCTAAACAGGCATCAGGCCAGATAAGACTCCAAAGCAGGGATGGGAAATGGGTGGCCTTCCAGAAGTATTGGTCCACGATTCCCATCAGCCCTAACTATTTATTTTATTTGTTTATTTAGAAAATGTGTAGGCCGTCCATCACAGTCGTCTCTGGATGGCTTACAGCATGACTTCAAATCCTAAATGAACTAAATTAATATTCCACAACTGAGCATAAAACTAATCTATTTAAAATAAATTAAATGAATCCAGTACAATTAAAATCACTTTATGTTAAAATATTGGTCAAATGAAAAGGTCTTGACCTGGCTGAAAAGCATATAATGACGGTGCCAGGCGGACCTCTCTAGGAAGCGCATTCCATAGTTGGGGCGCCACCACAGAGAAGGCCCTCCGCCGGGTTCTCTGCCTCCTGACCTCTTTCAAAGAGGGTTCCCGGAGGAGGGCCTCTGCTGCCGATCTCAGGGGGCGGGAGGGCAGATAGGGAAAAAGGCGTTCCTTTAGGTATCCTGGTCCCAAGTCGTTAAGGGCTTTATAGGTGATAACCAGCACCTTGAATTGAGCCTGGACTTCGATGGGAAGCCAGTGAAGCTGATAGAGGACTGGGGTTATATGAGAATAACGCCCAGTCCCCGACAGCATCCTGGCAGCAATATTTTGCACCATCTGAAGTATCCGGACTGTCTTCAAGGGCAGCCCCATGTAGAGCACGTTACAGA